CTCCTTCTATGTTTGCATTAGTTGATTTCTCTCTATAATTTTCACTGAGAACAAACTTGTCTTTTTCAGTCTCGAAATCTATTCGTTCAGCAGGTATGTATTGAGCATCAGTCACAAAAATGTTGGTATAATTTTCAACGCAGGTTCCCATTGGTTGTGCAAATGATGTCACTATGCAGCATTAATAATTTGCTTCAAAATTATACAACTTAAGCATCCAAAGCACAGTCATAACACTACAAATAATACCAGGCTGGAAAACTTGCTTTGACTTGCATCGGCAAACTAATTTATCAAAAGAGAATATAGCTGGCATCAATCATAAACACTAATTTTTACGTTTTTCAAACAGTCGTTCCCCCATTTTTGGTCGACCTGGTACGTGAAATAATCTTAGCTGTATTGGTTGAAATTGGGACTGCCTCCTGCTTTAGGTTTTAAAATATTGCCTAGGCCCTTTTAAGGCATGCATGCATGCGTAATAAATGTAGCTACGTTTACCTTGCAAGACACCTTTTTCCTCAGACAAGCGTGGTCTCTCTTCATCCTACTGGGCTTGGGTTTTGATGAAAAGTGACATCATAATGGTGACATGCTGCTCTCCCCGCTATTTCCTTCAGTCTTTATTACACGCCTCAATTCCTCGCCTTGAATTCCTTCGAATTCTTTGATATGGTGTTTTAAGTTGGCTTCTGAGCAGTGTGATTTGGAGACTGCGAGTCGCGTTCTCTCTTTTCCTCCAATAAACTTGAGCGTATCTTTTACAGTTGGACCAATAAAATAGACCACACATTCGACTGTAAACAGCTTGTCATTCTCCGCCATTTTCTACTTTCAAACTTGGCGGGAAACAGCCTCGCTTTGAAGCTCTAAAGTGAGTCCACAAGTCCGGGGCCGACAAAATCAGTGGAAGCTGACTGCCAACGCATGCACGGTTAAACAAAATAAATACTTTTCGTGGCTCAGGTTGGTTTCTTGATAGGATAAATGCGTTGTATTGTAAATGACAGAAAAAGGCTGTAAAAACATTATGAAATCTGTATATATGTATTTATATTTAATAATTTCTTACGTTAGAAATACATGTTTTTTTATCTTTCTATTTTTAAACAGTTTTACTTTGTAGTAGGCTTGAATCAGCTTTTATTCTGTAGCAATTTTTACACACCTACTTTAAATAAATAGGTACTAATAATAATAATAATAATAAAAATAATGATAATAACAATGTATCGTAATAATTGTTTCAGGAGACCACGCAAAGGTCCAAGGCCTTACAATAGGTCCCTTTCCCTAATGTGAGGGGTTCGTAACCTTTTTTCTCCTTTCCCGACGACTAAAATGTGGCACATGATATCACACACTTTTCGTTCTACTTCTAGTAACATAAGAAATCGACGCCAATTGTAAGGGACTCGACAACTTTTCCACCATTTTAGATCAGACCTCAAGAGACTCTTCATTATCACCGTAATTACCTCTCCGTGCAACTGCCCGATAATGTTGCCGTTCTTAAAAAGACAAATGACGGGCAAAAATGCAAATTAAGGAATTACTTACTTCGTTAAAAGAGTATAAAGATTTGCCTTTTGAGTTATTTTAAGACCAGACATTTTGTTTCCGGATGGAGCAACTTACAATATCTTAGCAAACTTTTTGTTGACCAAAGTCCCATAAATAACAATTTACACGTGAAAATACCTGCTAGGATATTTGAAAAAAATTGGAAATAAAAAATTCTTGAAATCTTAGAAAGGCCGTGTACTATTCTCTCTAGTAAAACACCTTCGAGTAATCATAAAATAGTTTCAGTGCAATATAATAAAGTAAACTATTTTTCAACATTTTATTAGCTAATAGTGACAAAAATTAATTAAGCTGTAAATATATTGAACCAAAAAGATTCCCTTATTAGGGGGGGGGGGTCACTCTCTTTTTCGAAGATTACTTGTATAAAGATGGTTGGCTTACCAAATCTAGTTTTTCAAAATTATGGCAATTTGCTAAGGCATACTGGCACCAAGAGTTCAACAGGCTTGACTTCTGCGTTCAAAGCGTGCATTTTCTGATTTCCCTTTCTATTTAGAACTCGAAATATTCTTCTCGTATGTTTTATATCTTAAGAGATTTTTCTTGTTAAGGTATGATAAAAGGTATACTGAAATAAACTAACTTTTTAGTAAAATTATGTGGAACAAAAGTTCATATCCCCATATTATTTGATTCCAAATTTGAACTTTTGAGCACCATTAATTTCACGAGACGAGGTACTTTTATGGAGCCAGGCCTATTTCCTTAGTACGTTATTGGGTAAATTAAAGCCTTTTGCATCTTTCTTATTACCCAAGAAATTGAATCTCGCTCTTATTTGTAATATGGGCTAACAACGCAACATGATTTCATTAGTTAAGAAACAGCCTGAGAAAGACAGGGCACGTTTTATATACTAAAGTTGCAAGGTAAACACAAAACAATAAACTATGGGCAATTCTTAATCCTAATGAGCGTTATAAGCATGAAAAAGGTGGTTGTAGGCTTTTGTATACTTTTATTTACATATATACACTGAAATTTTGTTGCAAAAAACTGTTTCAGTCTTTTTCGGAGTCGAAGGAGACCTTTGCTAAACTTGAGGATCTGCCATCACTTGAAGAGATCTCATCCAAACGTAGAAAAGTAGAGTTTCTTTTTATATCACCCAAAAACATTGGGGTTGCTGATCGGATTTCTGGAAGTGAGTTTCGTCTCAACAGGTTGTGACTGCCGACAGATCTTCCAATATTGTTTCGATTACGAAAGGTAGCATCGCTTCGCATAGTAGTAAATTTTTCTCTTGAGTTTCGATTTTTGTCCAGCAAAGCATCAGTCTGATCAATACCGAGTTGCATTTTCTTCCTTGGCACATTTCCTGTTTTCCGATGGCGAAAATCTGGCGAGATCTGCCAATCTACATTATTAGCAATCGAATTACGTCTGCATTTCGTTGGCTCCGCAATAGCAACCGGTATATTGAGGGACACACCAAGCACGCTATGTCTTCTCGTTATAAACTTGCTTTTTGGTTTGCAGGAGTCATAATCCTTCAATTCATCAGCTCCTAGCGTAAATTTCTTTTTGGGCGCTAACTCTCCATTATTTCGGCTTGTGCTGAGGACTTCAAACGACTGTCTATTTTGCAGATGGCAATGCTCCGTTTGTTCAACCAGATCCTCGTGAACATCTTTTTCAACATCGTCTAAATGCTGAATATAAAGACGCACTTTTTCGGATGGCTTTAATTCCTCCTGCTTGTGAAGATTTGCTGTTTTCAGGTCAGTGCTACACTCATAAATTGACTTTGGCATAAAAAGGCCATTCAACTTCTTCTTCTCTAAGTGCATCTCATCTGCATTTCCAACTGAAGGCAGTGAAAAAGATTTTGCTTTCTCAATCGCGTTACTAAACATTCTTTTTGACTGAACAAGAGCTACAGATGCTTTTTTCAGTTCTTTGACATTTTCAGCTGGATAAACAACTGGAGGATCACAAGCAACATCTGCAAGTTGGGATGAACGGCGATTTTTGGACAACTCGATGTCAATACTTTTGCGTGCATTTGCAATTTCTCTCCATTCCATTTCTGCCAAACTTCTCCTTCTTTCGATCAAGCCAGTTTGTCTTTTCAAACTCGACTCGAGAGAATCATTGATTCTTTGCACTTTTTTAAACAAGTCGCTCGAATTTTTTAGATTTTTATCCATTTTGTAGTTTTCAGGAAGCGTTAAGACGCAATAGCCATTGGAGTTTAAAACCATCTATAGCCAAACATTCCATCAAATGAACAATCTTTCAAATATTACGCGATAAAGGAGTTTCTAGGCTCGCCGAATTCTAAAGATCTATAATTATCAAAATACAAAGACAAATGCAACCCTTATTTGCTGTCTTCGCTTCCCTCTTCCTATGGGAATTTGGCCGGCTCTTTTTAAATCAAACAAAGACAAAAAACTCGTTGCTAACGATAAGCATTGAAATTGGGCGTGAAGTCATTACTCAACCATTGAAAATCCGGCGAGATCAATGTTATAACTCCAACCATTAAAAGACAATAAACCCTCGCTTTGGGTTTATTCAGCTTACAGCCTCGTTTTGGGAAACACACACAACTTCAGTCACAAAGTTTCATGATTTTAGTCTGGGTAACGTGCTCCATATTTTTGCGGTTTTATTGTAGATTCTGACGATAAAAAGGTTGCAAGGGTTTTCCTGCAAATATGGTTGCGGATGAACCCTTTCACCTTCAGTCGGATTTCAATATGCTATCACGGTCAAACCGTTTTTAAAATCTTTATCTTTATGTCGTCATATATGACATAGCATGATCACTAGCATAATGAAATCGTATACACGTTTTTTTTATTCTATAAGGATCTTGGATCAGCACTAAGTACTAAAATTTTCTTAATTTAGCATCCAAATTTTGGCGTTTTAGTACTCAAAGGTTCTTAGTTGGTTTCGTATTTCGAGACCTAAAAATGCCATATTGTTTTGAAGTTGAGCATTTCTGGAAAAATATAAACGCGATCGTCGTTTCATGTTTACTCGAACTGTTTCCATTTCTCCCCGAACTCTATTTTTGCCAAGAAAGTCTGACACGAAAAGGAAGGTTTTCATATCCTTTGTTCAGGCTCAAAATTAAGGGTGAATGACCCTGTTTTCGAATCAGTGGTGGACACTTGGGGGGGGGGCATGGGAGAGACAGGGGGTGGTCGCCCTAATACTTTGGAGGGTAATAGTCTTTTGTTCTAAATCAACTTCACATGTAGGCAAACAATGAAATCAACTGAAAAAAACGATTTGATGGAAAGCTCGGCTCATAATGGTGTGTGTAGACAAATTCAAAAGAGGACGAAACGATTCATTTAGACTAAACCAGTTGAATTTAGTCCATTAAAACCTTGAAAACGCCTCTTTAGAGGAATATTGGGAAGAACATGTTTAGCCATTAAGAGCTATTAGTGTAAAACGAAAGTATCAAAAATAAGTATGAAAATGCACAAAAAATGAACTTAACTTGCTTGTAGAAATGTGTACAATGGTTTCTTTTAGCTACTTCTAAAAACGGCATTTCAAAGACAATTAGGAGGATACAACGAAAATGACATTTTTGACTAAAATATTATGATTTCGTCATTGAATGCAAACGCAATTGTAACATCTCGAGTCACTTGCCAATGCCAATATAATGAAACCTTTTTCAAAATTTCAAAATATAAGGTCTTACGTAGAATCTTAAAAATCTTAAAAAAATTTCATTTTCGGAATAAAAGATGGTTTGACGGGATTTTGTATGAATACTTCGCAGCAAAGGGTAAGAAACTCGAGATTTTATCACCCAAAGTGAGTATCTGCCTCATTGAGTTCATCAATAAGATCTAGCAATTTGACAGCTGGTCCAATTTTAAGGCCCATGTAATTAATCACAATGTCCCTTTTTAACAACAGCATGGCTTTTCCATCTATGTCCTAAGAAATGAAAGATATCTGCATCACTCGTAAAGCAAAAGCATTTAATTTCTTCTTGCAAATAGATTTTCGGTACAAAACGTTTTGCCCAATAATCAAGAGAGATAACATGTATATAAACTGCAGTTACAGGAGTGTATTAATGCAACACAGTTTGGAAATTAAACTTAGCATGCCATGCCTAGGTCTTTGTATTTGTCTCTACCAAGCATCCGAAGGTAGTCTTTAGGATACCGAGAAGCTTATGCTTACCGAACAGTGTCCTGGTCCTTCCTCTCGATATGACCACACCTCGTGATTCCTACGCATGAAATTACAGAGGGCTGGCAAAGTTTGGACATGCCAAGGTCTCGAACAACGGACCATGGGTCTGTAGTCAGCGCCTGTAACAGCTGAGCCATCCTCGCATTAAATTAATGCCTAAGTCTGAATTGCTTAGGAATAGTATTGGGAGGGCTAAAAAAGCTGTTGTTTAGAAATGAGGTGTTGATCATCGAAATGAAGGTTTGAAGGAACAAAAGCTTACTGTGGACTGATCATTGCTCGATTAAAAGCTAAATTTTTAAAGACCAGATTAAATTCAAAACTTCAGTGTCATGGATATATGATGCTAGAAACTGAAAGGTATCTTAAAGAAGATTATTTTGTGACCTATAGACATTTAAAGGTTCTCTTATCACACAGTGTTTAAGGAGCCCTCAGGACACAATATTTGTGAGCCCCCTGAAAAAAAAATCTCGAGATTCCTTGATCATACAAAGGTGTGAGGGTGGCTCAGTGGCTAGAGTCACCGACTAAAGACCCAAGGATCTGGGGTTCCAGCCCCTGGCATGACGAAACGTTCACCTAGTTTGAGGAGCGTTGTAGGAATCACAAGAACTGTTCACATCGAGAGAAAATACCAGGTCACTGCTTAATAAGCTGAGCTTTCCAGTTTCCAAACAACTATTTTGGGAAGCTATGTATTACACCTATGTGGTTCTTATAAGATATTTGTGACGATTCTTAGCTGCAAATTATGCAAAAATTTTGCTTCTGGTGCATTGGGTCTTTTAACAACGAAACTCAAAACTTAGGTTTACAATTTTCCTGCGTTGCATTGTAAACAGGTGTATGAGGTCCTCTGCCGACACAATTCATAAAGCTAATGGCCAAAAATCCCAAAAGGCACTAACAAGTTTTGCCCATTCAATAATAATCAGCTGCTTAATATGATAACGTCAGTAAAACTTACGTTATCCCGAAAAATATTTGCATAATCCTTTAAATCCGTTTTCTCCAGAAACTCAGCAACATTTTCTACTGACCAAGATCGAGGTGATGTGGTAATGTGTGATAAAACTGAAAAACATGCGAAATAGCAATTAACAAAGAAAGTAAAAATTACCTCGCAGATATGCTTCGAATTGTACTCATAAATCACCTCTCTATGGGGTCCCTTACTGATCCTTTACTTTAACAAGTCTTCTCATTGACCACAAAATTTTTCGATTTATAAGAATTTTGTTTGCCAAGTGGTATTCAGCGAATTTTGAAAATTGTTGCTTTTAAAGCCAAAAAAAACAAAAATTTATTGAAACTAAACATCAAGACAATAGCTTACATTTTCACAAAAACGTGGTTAGCATTATGAAAACATTTATTCGAACTTAGGCAGACGGCTTGAAAAATGTTTGAAGGCGCCAGATTTCTGGGTCTAGTAAAATGCATTTTGAAAGGCGAAAACTTTGGTAAATGAAGCCGACCATGTCAACGTGTGGATATGCTGGTTCCGTTGAACATGATTATTCATAGAAATGCATACATCAAAATATACCGAAAGCTATGAAAAAGGAAAAGTTGATAAGGAATGTATGGAAGTAGGAAACAAGCAGTTTTTATGACGAAGTTTGGTTCAAATAACCTGCGTGTACACACGCTGTGAAGAAGGAAATCATAAGTGTGAAACGCATCCAGTAAGAATCTCAAAGGAAATTCTCTTTGATATCTGACCAAGATGTAAACCAATTCATTGGTATTTTTGGTGGTGTAATTAAATCCACTTGTTTTTATCGTCCAGTAGAGAATTTAAATATAAAAATAAGAAAAATAGCATTACCTAGAGGTGATAAAAGACAAAACTATGGATTTCATTATTTTTGATCGGATTAGAGAGAGTTTATGCAGTAATCTCAAGCAAAATTTGAAAAAAAGTATGATAACAGTGGGCTTGATCGTTGGCATAATTAAGAATTTGCATTCTTAGCTATTGGGAAAATAAGGAATCATCTTACGATTGAGATAAAACCATATCTCAGAATTCATTTTGGGCTGCTTTTTCATGCTATAAAGTGATCATGAGAGTGACTTCCTTTGTTTGCAGTTTGTACAAAATCTTTACTGCAGCAACAGAAATTGTAAATCTTAGAGATTGTGATGTTTGTAATTGGGAAGATGTTACTTGGAGCTGTGAGGAAGTTAATTGACCAGAGTTGAAAGTTTGAAAAAGGTGAAACTTGGGATGTTTGGAAATGGAAAGAGATCAGTTTGAAGTTGTAAAATCGTTACCTGGAAGATAGGAATAAGTTGGAAGGTGTGGAAAATGTATAATTAGGGATAATAAGAATCAGAAAGTTAGACGTTAGTTAGACGTTGAGAGGCTTTTAATTTGATGCTTGGAAGAAGATACCTGGAAGTCGGGGAGAAGTTTGAATCTGCGAAGAAGTTAGAAGAGAGAAGGTAGAAAATTGTGTAGAAGTTTGAAAATGGGAAGATAAACTGGAAGATGGGAGGGAGAGAAGTTGTAAAGATAGGGAGGAGTTTGGAATTTGGAAGCTGTGAGTTGGAAGCTGGAAAATTGGGAATAAATATGATATCAATTAAAAGTTGAGAGTTGAAAGTTGGAAACAAGTTTGAAGATATGAAAGTAAAAGACTACTGAGACAATGGCCGACCTTTCACTAACAGGTTCAATTCAGAAATGATCTTTTCCTATCCAGATTTTACCGAATTCTTGCATTTTCTTTTTTCATATGATTCAATATGACATAAGAAACATGAATATATCAGCAGTTGGACAACATTTATTCTTTATAAACTACAGTCCCACAAAAAGCAGAGACTGTGCTGCCTGCAGCAACAGCAGAACTTGATGTCTTGTTTCTTTTTTTAAACAACACTTTACATTCTATAAGGCGCCCTTGCCTATAAGCAGCACCAACAAGACCAGAAGTGCTTGGTTTGAAATGACGGACACACAAACGGATAAAAACCTTATTGCGTACTTAAACCAAAGAATCAACATTAGAAGTTCAACCCACAGCAATATCGTCCAGCAAGGGATCATCCATAGCGTCTAGAAGTATTTCTTCCTCATTGTCTACATAATGATCCTCAACATCAAGTTAGCAGGAAAGCTTGACAGAATAATGTAATGTACGTCGTTCTCGTTTATAAACCGCCCTCGTTTACAAGCCACCCACGTTTTTAAGCCACCCTCGTTTATATGGCGACCTCGTTTACAAGCCGCCCTCGTTTATATCCGCCCTTGATTATAAACCGCAATAGAACGTTCCAAAAATAATTATAAGCAAAAGATGATTATAATCGAATAAACACGGCACTTCAATTTTAGATCCATGATTTTAACACCTTGCAAATTTCAACACGATTCTATAAAATTTTCAATTTCACTATTGTAAAAAAGTAATAACCAGCTTTCATCTACTTGTGGGTACTGCTTCAATTAACATTATATGTAATAAGACCTTTGCGTAGAAAACTCTTTGTACAATATAAAAACCTTTAAATATCATAAAACTTAATCGCAAAAAGTTTTGGGCACCTTGTTATGCAAGAAATTGACAGCAGAATTAACGTTAAGAATCAATGAGAGAATGATTTTTCCTGAGGTTTTTCTACTTTTTAAAATTAGCAAAGACAGTAAATGGTTGAAGGGAGGTCATTTTCAAGCTTGCAATTTATGGGCGATTAAAACCAGCTGGAACAACATATCACTTTTATATTAAATATAGCATATGATATATCAAAACAAGGATACTTCACAACAACGAAATTGTTGAATTGCCTTACTTGAATTTCGTCTCTTTCTTTTTGCTGTCTCTCTCGTTTCAACCCTAGCCTCAGAGGCATCCAACGCACCTACTGCCGTACTGTCCGGTGTACTTGAGATACATACGGACAGATTGTTATCCATTGGTTTGTCGGAGATATCATGTGTTCTCTTCACGGACACGGATTGGCCTTTTCTCGCATACCCCGTTCTTCCACACTGCGGACACGCGGTCTGCAACTCAAAGCCACTAATGAGGTTGGTGCAACAACGCAAGTTGTCGCAGAATTGTTCCATTACTTTCCAGAAAGTTGAAACACGATCAACTGTTGACAGATAGCAATTGTAGACGACCCCATCGGCTATAGCATTCACAACAATGTTGCCACGACCTGAAAGCATATAACATTAAGAGTTCACTTCTTCAGTGAGCTTTGCCAGCAGGTTACGATATGATAATACAGTCTGAAAGCTTTGACTAGGCACAGGATTATATTTTAGCCCCTTGATAGGCAGGAAGGCCTGCACTCAAGGATGGCAAGAAGAAAAAGCACTAAGAAAAAGGGCAAAACATTAGCAAAAAGGAGAACATTGCTTACTTTCGCTCATGGAAATAGTTTTTTTGCCCATGCAAATACTATGGCCCGATGATCGAATTAACTGTAAAGGTGGGGGATGCATCTTAGAACCGTCCTATTTTAGACACTAAGGCATGTTTGTATAATAAATATAAAGAGAAAAACAAAAAGAGACAATTTTAACAATTTAATTTCTAATTCAGCAATTTGTTTGACTATCATCTATGCCGATGTTTTGGCTATCATCTAAGACAAAAATTCGAAACAATTACGTGAAGGTGTTTTCATTGAAAATCTAAATAAGTATGAGTAGATGTCAATTTTGATTATTGAATAGGACGAAGTTCTAAACGTTTATGAGATAGTGTCTTTCAATGCTGAGCATTTATCACAACGCCTGAGGGGTCTGAAGGATATACCGTTGCAGTAGACTAGTTTCATGACATCAAAACTGTTGTTTTAAACAGTCTTTCACTTAACAAATGCTTTTCTAGTGAGTCTCCAAAAGCAAATGATCGCTGGATAAGGTTGTCAATCTCACCAGGTTTCAATGCGACTCGAATGTCTCGTTTGACATGACCAAAAAACTTTCCTTGAAAATAAGCTTTCACACAAACGATCTCTGATTTCTGATAATTCAATAGACTTATCTCAAATTTGACAACTTACCGGGCTTTAAGAATCCGAGTACGGTTTTTGGATCGTAGGCACAGCGGATTAAGTCTTCCAAGATAGCTTTTAAAACCACACCTATGTCTCCTTTATATGCCGTTGGTATTGAAGACACTTTCTTTGTATCCATGTATGGTCCAGGATTGCATCCACTGTTGACTGTCACATCAACTGCAGAAAAACAAGCTAAATGTCCATCAATATATTCCTTGACTCAAAATACGGTTTGACTTACCGAACTATTCCAGAGGGGCGAATAACTTACAAGGTACACGGTTTTTAAAATTAAAATATTTTTTCTGTGATTCTTCGTGCATTTTTCGAAAGTCTTGCCCCTATGACTTAATTTGAGCCATCAGACTTGCTTTGAACCTCAAAATCGAACATAACGAGGCTGTACGATTCAAAAAATTTTCCAGTAATAACTGCAAATATTGTTTTCTTCACAACTTTGATTGGGTAAAAAATGGGGAAAAAGTCCAAATGCTTTGCCAAATTGGCCATATGTCAGATCTACTGAAAAGGTCCCAAACAAAGAAATTTTGGAAGTGTAACCCAATTAGACCAAGTAGGATTATCTCAAACAGCAGGATTGTCTCACACAGCAGGATTGTCTCACACAGCAGGATTATCTCAAACAACAGGATTATCTCAAAGAGCAGGATTATCTCATACAGCAGGATTATCAAAAACCATAGGATTACCACAAACCGTACGCTTATCTCAAACCATACCTTCTCCATGACCTGTTGCAATTTGATGGGATTTCTTTTCCCGTAGATTTGGGGAGCAGCTATTTCTTGAAACATTATTGTATGGAATCCTTAAAGAGAAGTGTTAATAGCAAATGTCATCCCCAAAGTTGTGTGCAAAATAAAGATATGATAATAATAATATTTTTAATAGATATCGAATGTTGACTTTCTTACTGCCTTGCATCTCTTACTTCTGTTAGTATCCGTTTACTGTCAGCATTCATAAAAAGTCAATATATTTATACATGAAGTAGAATGTAGATTGGCTTTCAACTCAAAGCCACAAACAAGATTCCAGGTATAACGAACAAAATATCTGGTCCCCGTAATATTTGATCATGTTTAACATCCCTCAGTTTGAAGAACTCCCTTTATAAAGCAATTATTTTCTGACTTTGCTGTATCTGGGTCCTACTGTAATAAATGTTTATCAAGGGGGAGGGGGGGGGTCTCATGAAAAAGGCATATAGAAGGTAAAGACCGGCGCAAGGATGTTCCGGGCGGTAAAATAGGGAGATTGGAAATGGCATATTTTTTCCTAAATCACAATTTTACACTTCATTTCTGGACTAGAAGCCTCGTCAATTGAGAAAGACTGTTTGAAGGGTGCCTTGAAGGAAGTCTTTTCAAATATGGAATTTTTATATTAAAACTACCAACGAAAAGGGAATAGTGTTCATTGCACAACGAAAGCAAACATCATAAATCTGGCAATCATATGTAAAAATTATTTGGCAATTTGAAGTAGGTGTTTTTTAAGACTTGACAAAAATCATATACTTCTTTTGAAAAGAAGTTCCGTTCCTGAGTTCCTGTACCCCTTGTAAGGTGAGGTAGTCTTCTGAGTCAAATGGCAATTTTAGACATGATTACCCTAGCCCATCTGCCCAGGCAGGCACTACGAGTGGGATGGTGCCACCGTTGCCCATGTGTTGCATGCATAGCAGTTACAACTGATAGATTCAACCTTCTCAAAGTAACCAAATACTGTAAAGAAGAGTAGAAAACTGTTTTTGTGTACTTACACTGGCTGCGGCCGAACCACTTGGACACCTTGAAATGTAAAAGATAACGCAAAAATTAGCAAAGCAAAAATCAATATAAATTATGTAAAAATATTCATAGAAACGAATGACTGTCTTGCAACATTATGTCTACTTCGGTAAAGACTTTTGAGCAAATTGTCAATTTTACTTGGTGAAAAAACAAAGACACATAATTAAAGCGGTCGACAATTGATACAAGCAGTGGAATTTGACGAGTAAAGCTTTATCAGTACTTCTGTACCAATAAACTTGACTCAAATTTATACTGTCAAAACAATTTCCGCAATATTGTCCAGGTTCGCCACATTTCGTCAGTGGAAAGTTGTCCAGTAAGTTATGTCTTTTGTATTTGTGTTCGAAACTAGGCGCTTATTGGCTGTCCAGAGATTATTCAAATCAGTAAGACGACTAGTGCCCCCCTTCCAAAGTTCAAAAATTCATTTAAACCCTTTACTGATAATGCTTGCCTTGCGAGCTTACCCGGGGGCTGCAAAGGATATCCGTTGCTAAAACACCATCCAGCTTGAAACAAATCTCGGTCGGTAAAATGCGTCCAATACCCACTTCCTTTATAACCATCAAATTCGATCCGCACTCGGTCACCGTCAACTTCGGCTACAGAAGCGACACCGACCAAAGCCGGATTCTTTTTGTCAACAGCTTCGAGCTTCATTCCGGTCGCAAATTTGTTTTCTTTCGGTGGAGAAGGCTCCTGCAAACAGATCATTAAAAGTAGATTAAAAAATGATTTCAAAAATTGCAAGGGGAATACCCCGTTTCATCTCGGGGGCGGCTAAATATATAGCTTTATGATACCAGGAATGTTCCGTTTTATAAGGGTATTTTTTCAGGAAATGAGAATTCATGGGTATAAATTTTCACAAAAAGTGAAAGTACGAGGAATTATAGGTTTACAGGTAAAATTTGAAATTTGAAATTACAGGTAAAACTAGCGATCTCTTAATCGCAATTTTTGATTTGAATGCTACAAATGCTGAAGCAAAATAAACATTGGAATAAAGTCAAATTACAAATGTAACCCAGTATTAGGGAACATAACAAATTTATTGACTTACGCTTTTGAATGCACTCATCGGGGCCAGTTCTGCACTATTCAATGCCTTTTTTATATATTCAGTATAACTTGCAACCTCTACAGAGAATCCTGTCAGAAACAGAAGATATCATTTTAATTACTGATATGTATATGAATTTGAATATTATTATCAAAAGTTCGTTTTCAGATAAAAGTTTTAATTTTCGTTATTATTGGTGTACAACATGTAATGTAGAATTTTGTACGGGTGGTAATTTGGCATATACCGTCGAAAACATATTCATGACCGAATAATTTTTGTAACACGCAAAACTGGTTTAAAACATACAATATCGAGCCAGTGCGTAAATGTATATATAAGATGACTTCTGTGGCCTTTTTCACAAAAAAACAAAGATTAAACTCATTCTCTGATTTAAAGAAAAATTATGGAGCTTATCCAGTTGCATTTGAAAACTGTGCAAAATTTTCGTGGATTTTCACAGATTAAACTTTAGAATCGCAACTTAGTTTTTAATCATGCATAAATTTGAACACATCTCAAACCCAACTTTCTGATCCAGCTGATCCAGTTGCATTTGAAAACTGTGCAGAATTTTCGTGGATATTCACAGATTAAACTTCAGAATCGCAACTTAGTTTTTAATCAAGCAGAATTTTCGTGGATTTTCACAGATTAAATTTTAGAATCGCAACTTGGTTTTTAATCATGCATAAATTTGAACACATCTTAAACCCAACTTTCTGATCCAGCTGATCCAGTTGCAATTGAAAACTGTGCAGAATTTTCGTGGATTTTCACAGATTAAACTTGAGAATCGCAACTTTGTTTTTAATCATGTATACATTTGAAGACATCTTAAACCAAACTTTCTGTAAATTATGGCATTGATTTGCTCGTATATGTAAACTATACAGAACTTTTTCAATGTCAACATAAGACAAATTTACGATTGTATAGGAATAGTTATCTCGTTTTACATAAAACAATTTAACCTTTCCTTGTAAATATCTGAAGATGGCACGACATAGCGTTAAAATCTCATCACGAAATGTAACATTTACTTGCAGATATCTGAAGATCGCACGACATAGAGGAAACATCGCATGCTACAACAAGATAACCAATCAAACGCGTTTTTCTTCCAATCATGTTACTTTCGAACCACACTTGGATATAAATTTTCTGCTTACTTTCGATCACTATCTGACGTTTACACCCTGAAGACTGTCGGACGAAAAGTATTTCAGTATGCTATGTTTGCGCGATTTCGTGCCATCTTCAAATTGGCGGTACGAAAGACTTATTTGCAGATATAGTTTGGCCAATACAGCAAACACAAAGTTGCGATGAGACCGTCAAAACATAAATCGACTAAAAATGTTTAACTTAGGTTAAGAAAGTTTTGCGCCAATATATAAAAACTACGATATAGTTTGAAAAATGTCAGGGACAGCCACACACATATTTTGGCGTTTTTGGTTAGCTCACACATCAAAACGGGATATTTTCGATCTCAATTTTGGTGAAAGGTGAAGCGATTTTCTCCATATAGAGCTGCGAGGTAGGATAAATTTGCTCATATAAACAGGCCCTTAGTGAAGTTATATCATTATACATAGAAGGGGATACTGGTACCTTTAGGTTTCTGAAGAACTCCTCTGTTTCCCTCGCACCATCCGACCGGATGTATTTCACCCGAATCACAGAGAACCCAGATGTCTTCTGATTTAGGACAGCCGTCAAGATGTAACCGTAAACGCGGTCCCCAGATCGTCACTACTGTTGCGATACACACAACAGAGTCCTGCCTCGGGTCTTTAACTTCGAGCTTCATTCCGACTTGAAACGTGTTGGTCGATGATGTGCGTTGCTATGGCAGAGAGACAAATCTCAAAGACACAAGAAACGGAAAGACAAATTTATAAGCAGAAAATTGGGAAAGTATAAAAACGATTTTTTAATGCCTTTGATAAAAAAATGCTTGTTCCAACTTTTTTCATTTCTCAACGTTCCAACATTGGTTTCTCTGTTTGAAATCTCTCTATTTCCAAGTAAGCTTTAGAAACGATTTACCAATCCTGGAAAGTTTTAGATATGAATCCCTTCTTCAAACAGTCACAATAATGAAAACTCTCAAAAATGGCCATAAAAGTTCAGAATACGACATCTCCACTACCCTTTATTTGTAATCTTCTAAGATTTTGTAACTGCAGTTACACTAAAGGCAGTTACGTTACTTAGAATACAGCACATCTGAAAATAGGTGTAGTAAAACTACGCATAAAAGGGGTGCTTTTTCCTTCGAAAACTGTGGCATTTTTATCGAGGAAAGAAACGTGGTCCCAGCTCATTGCTACATGTGTCACTTCAGTGCTCTTTGGAATATCAAAAATCAATTAATGAACAAAAACAGAAACTACAAAGAAAAAACCGTAAAATAAAGGGGTCGGCCTACTGTAGCTCAAGATAGTTTAATTGAACCGTCCAAAAGTTTTAATGAAGAAAGAGTTGCTTTTATGCAGATCCTGTTTGCAAATGTTCTTTCCGTTTACTAACAAGTGACAATGATTATTCGAATTCATGTCATGGGCATTAAATATTACATCTGAGATTTGACCAAGGGGATCTTGGTGCAATGCGCTATACTAGGTTCAATGAAGGATTTGATGTTTATAGGCCTCTCGCTGATTTATCGCAAAATTCTTTCCAAAAGCTTATCACAAATTCATAAATCCTAAAATTCATAACAAGAAATACAAGTTAGAGGAGGTTAAAGTTTCATTTCACGAAAAAAACTGAGATTATTTACCATTCTGAAACATAACAACGGAGCAGCTATTGACCCAGTTTGCTTTAAGTAGCTGGTCCAATCGAAAGCATTCTCAGCGATTCGATATGGGGTATCTATAAAGAAGAAAAGACCAGTAGCTTCCAAACAAATACGAAATAACTGCTGGTAATAATTCAATGGGCGTAATCGCTTGATAATATTTTGCAAAATCTCGAAATAAACATTGCCAACGACATTACTGAAACAAATTTTGCCTACAACAGATCCCTTGAACAACTTTTGCCTACGACATATCCCTGAAACAACTTTTGCCAATGACACATTACTGAAGCAATTTTTGCCTACGACATATCCCTTGAACAACTTTTGCCTACGACATATCCCTGAAATAACTTTTGCCAATGACACATTACTGAAGCAATTTTTGCCTACGACATATCCCTTGAACAACTTTTGCCTACGACATATCCCTTGAACAACTTTTGCCTACGACATATCCCTTGAACAACTTTTGCCTACGACATATCCCTGAAACAACTTTTGCCAATGACACATTACTGAAGCAATTTTTGCCTACGACATATCCCTTGAACAACTTTTGCCTACGACATATCCCTTGAACAACTTTTGCCTACGACATATCACTGAAGCAACTTTTGCCAACAACATTTCCCTGAAACAACTTTTGCCTACGACACATCACTGAAGCAATTTTTTGCCTACGACATATCCCTTGAACAACTTTTGCCTACGACATATCCCTGAAACAAATTTTGCCTACGACATATCACTGAAGCAACTTTTGCCAACAACATATCCCTGAAACAACTTTTGCCAACAACATATCCCTGAAGCAATTTTTGCCTACGACATATCCCTGAAACAACTTTTTCCTACGACATATCACTGAAGCAACTTTTGCCAACAACATATCCCTGAAACAACTTTTGCCTACGACATATCCCTTAAGTAACTTTTGCCTACGACATATCACTGAAGCAACTTTTGCCAACAACATATCCCTGAAACAACTTTTTCCTACGTCATATCCCTGAAGTAACTTTTTCCTACGACATATCACTGAACTAACTTTTGCCTACGACATATCACTGAAGCAACTTTTGCCAACAACATATCCCTGAAACAACTTTTGCCAACAACATATCACTTTTGCCTACAACATGCCTTTGAACCAAGTTTGTCTAACTCCGTTGCAAGTAGCAACATTTACTGGTTACTGAGGAGCGCATCTGCTCTTCTGGATATATTTTTATCAAATGTTTGACACTCTGATCATACCTGTCCTTTTTATCTGCAAACTAGAGCTTGGCCTGTCCATTTTAGGCTGTGGTCTTTGTACAGTCTTGTCCCGTATAACTTCCGTGCTCGGTCTTGCGGCTTCTACTCCAGATCTACTTCCGTCATTATGAGTCCTTGCAAAATTGCCCAAATGTTCACCTCTAGAGATAACTGGCTCATTGTTAAGGCTACTTAGGTTGATGCTGGTGCGTATTGGTGTACTTTCTGAATAGACTGAGCTTTCAAGTCCATATCCAGTCTCTACGTTAATTATTTTCAGCGCCGCCTGTTCAAAGCACTTTTTAGAGCATAGGCCAGTGCAATAAATTTCACGTCCTTGGAGATTTGTCGAATAATCGTTCAGGTTGCCATAGTTTTTGCACCAAGTACAACGACCGAATTTGGCAGTCTCTCCTCTTGAATCACTGCTTGGAGACTCGCGTTCGTCTATTTCATCTAAAAAACGATTCAAGAAATTGTACACACATTAAAAAAAGACAGTAATACATAACGCTGGGGTTTTCTGGGCTTCAGCTAAATTCATCTAATGAATAGAAATTGTAAGCATAACCAAACTGCACACCAATTCTTAAACTTGAAAATGTGCAGTCTCGCATTTTTCAAGATCAAGCAAAATGCTTTCGTTTAAGAACCCCATTAGGGCAATTTTCGTAGTGTTAATGTGGTAGAATAATATTTGAAACGGCATAAAACAGCTGAACTGGGTTGTTTGGCATCAATCATCAATTTCTTTGGAAAATTCGGAATCATCAAAGGCACTATCTTAAAAAAAGATGATGGTTATATGGACAATTCAAATGGATCAATAGAACAGACTTATCGTACCAACACATAAACAGAAAAGAAGTAGAAACAGAAAGATTTTTCTTTAGATTCGTTTTTCTCTGATTTTCTTGTGATATTAAGAGGTAAACATGCCAAGATAAGGTTCTTTTACATCGCAAGGGTGAGGAAATCTAGCTTGATTTTAAAAATACCACTTCAGAAAGACAATACGTAAAGAATATACAATTAATTCCCACCTGAAACTTCATAATGGACACCCCTTAACTTCTGTGGCATATGACTGGCATTTTCTTCGTAACCAAATGTCTAAAAGACGCAACAGAAAAGAATAGTTTAAGTTTCGAAAAACAGCCTAAGATATAAAAACTCAATGAAAAATTTCTACAATTATAGTATTGAATGGATTTGTACATTTAACCCTGTGTCTACAAAGGAGAGCCTGTTAGTTCAAAGGCAACCATTTCACACAGGGATGTGGTAGCACAGAGCAATTGAATAATATTCAAGCAAATTCTGTTCTAAATAGTGGGATGCCAAGAGGTTGGTTTGGAAAATTTTCAAAACTAACAAGAAAATGGGAATGTTTAGCAGTTGCTTTGCTCCGTTTGCATCCCAATGTAAACAGAACGCTTTCTGCTCCATAACATTTCCATTTCAGAACGTTCACCAAAATTCCTAAGTTAACATTGCTTAGGATAAAATAGAAAATATTTCTCATTCTTTTCAAATGTAACACCCTTTATATGTTATGTAATCTATATGTAATTTACGTGTAAATAGAGGCTAACCTTACGTTGCTCATCACTGAGCATATTCCATCTTCTTGCGGCAATGTGGTATGCGCCATCTTCACTGGCATCGGGGAACTCCACTCTGATTGAACTCAGAACCTGCAAACGATTAAATACTGATTGAAGTTATTTGTAAAAATTCTGAAAATATTTACAGCAAAAATTAACTACTCACGCTTTCATCATATTCTCTTTGCAAATTTGAAAATTATAGTTTCCTCTAAGCTGCTAATATTAGACCATATCGTTAGTTAGAACTCAGTTTAGCAGCTCCTCTATAGAACCCGACTGTTCATTAACTCTTTCTTCTAATATAAAATAAATGTGTTACTAGAATTTTGAAGAGGACTCTGAAAAGCAGAGCGGAATTTCAGACTATCGACATTTTTCAGCATTTTTTGCGTACGTTGATTCGTGAATTAGCATAAAGAATCAAACTTGTAAAGGATGTAATGTTAGGGCTGTTTCTTTGAACCCACAATGAACAGACTAGCGCATGCAAAGATAAAACTTTTTGAACTTTAACAAAACTTGGCACGGCGCAAGGAGATTGCAGTCTGATAACCAGCTGACTCCCTTCCAAAACAACACAGCGTATTCACTCTAGCAACAGAATACAAAAAATATATAACCGTTTTAGACAATCAGCTATAATCTACTTCGGACCTTGAGCAAATTTAAAAGCTAGTTAACAAACCTGGCTGAAACATATTTTACTCATCTTGCAATCAAAACTCGCTACGATTGATTTGCTTCAATTACAGAAAGATTAAAAAACCACCTGAGACCTAGTAAATACAACAATGCCTACCAGTAGGTAGAGTTCATACCTCTAGGTATTCACAAGTACCTGTACTGGTACCAGTTAAAACTTTGTTCAAGTGAAACTTGCCACCATGAAGCCATGAAAACGTGATTTCGTGCTCAGACAGGGTTTAATTAGCATTATGAGATGGGTGTGATGGTAATACTAGCTTTACTTACATTCAAAATCATTTCTGGCCCTTTGTGTGGTAAAAATAAAAATTACCACGAATTCTGTGGGATTTTCGTTCAAAGATTAAAGTCAAGAAATAATATTTAACACTTAGAACAAAATTTTCCAATTAGAAATTTACATAACTAAAAGATAAATGCAGCTAGATTTGCACTGGAATAAAATAAAGCTCAAAAAAGAAAAAATGCATTATCCGGGTGCACCTGAGTACATTTAATGTATACATAAAATAGAGAAAATATGCACTTGCACTCACTCAGGCACTTGTGTTATGGAGAGGACCCTAAATAATTTTATATTTCTGTTGCAAAAGAAAGTGATAGTCACAGAAAATCACGGTGTGTTGCGCCGTTGATGGTTTACCGAAACAAAGAATTAAATTCATATTTCAGTGAGTTTGCATTTGTTAACAAAGAATGTCTCTTACTTTCTATTGATCAGTTATACTAAATTGTCCCACTTCTCTAATTTCGAGGACCTTCAAAATTCAACAAACAATAGCCAATAAGCAGCGCGAAATACTGCCTTTAACAGTTCAGATTGGGTATCTTGAATCCGGCTATTTCGAACCCTTTTTATCTTAAACAATGTTTTTGCTTCTTCTTTGTTTAAATATATGATACATTAAAAAAGATAAACAATTTGATGTCTTAACAATCTGTCTTCTTGAAATAAATTCCCAGTCTTTTGGAGTCTGAGACAGTAGATTTCAACTGTAAAACACTCAAAGCAGGTCTTAACTTCAAATTATTCCTAGCTAACGAAGCTTATTGTGTAGAGAAAAATGCAAAATTGCTGGGCTCTGTTCATGGCCTCAGCAACTTTCATAGCAGGCATTTCTAATCAAGATCCCATAATCAAGCTCTTCTTAAATAGGCAAGAGATTTTTGCAAAATGACTTTAGCTCTTTTCTCAAATAATCCGCTAAAAGCTTATACAATGACACTGAATATGGAATAGGCAGAAAGGTAACTCTAGTTGGTTCCTTTGTTGTTTTTGAAGCCTGAGTCAACAAAAGAATTTCTTAATTCCCATTTAACCTTGATTTCAGTTGACGAACTTAGCCATGACAAATTATCATTCATTAATCAGATATAAACAAATTATGATACACAATTGAATTTGTTCACTATCATGGAGCATTTCGTCTCAAAAAAGTTGTCTACTTTCATTCTTTTCTAAAATTTCCCCGACAGATACATGCTTAGCCTCATATAAGTAAACGCTTACGCAAGTTTTTTCAGGCTTCACCTGATAGGCAGGAGTTCCCCTTCTGCCTAATTCCTATTCTGTGGTAATGATAAGAAGAACTGAGAGCTGACAGTGACCAATTATCAATAAAAACAGTAAATGAAACTTTTCAGTATTTAAGAACAATTGTTGATTATTATAAAACAACAAGAGATTGGCAGCTGGATTAAGTGCCATACTGTCCTTGTCATTGTATTTACAATCATACCTGATCTCTAAATCTTTCAAATGGACTTTTTCTATTTGATGACCATATGCCATTGTTTTGTAGATTTTGAGCAGTGTCATTTCCATCAAAACCTCTCCCAATAGATGAAGATATCATAGATGGGTAAGTAGGCTACAAAATTCAGAAAAAGACTTTATACAATTTTCAGTACTTAATTTGCAATTCTCACCAAGTTTGATCAAAACTAGGCTTAAAACAACTGACAACCAACATTATACCATTATGCATAAAATCTAAGAAAAATGGGAAGTTTTTAAGGCTGAATTATACAGTCCCAATTTATGTCTGTTTTCACCTAAATGATGAAAAAATTGATTGTGAACATTAGCTAAAAATGGACCATCTGTCATAATTTCCCTTTTACCTAGATGCAAGTTGGACCAGTTTTTCAGTGAAAAAGGATAGGTTTTTTCTTTTGTCTTTTTGGCAAGGTGCTAAAACCTTTTGTCTCAAATGTCTCCATGTTATGTTATGACTTGATATGTGGTGGAATAGAATCTCTCATCGCTGTTGGCAGCTGAGAAATCAATCAAACATTTCACTGCTCATTCTGAAAAACATTTAATATTTGTCACAATCTACCAAGCAAAAAACCTTCAGCCAATTTTTCAAAACCCCTAACTGTATTCTTCTCTGGAGCTATGGTTTCACCTAAATTGATTAGTGACACTGCGAGTATATGATTGTAAGATTGTATGGTCTATTAGTCAAGTTATCATAAAAATCACAATGTCACACCAAGATAAAATAAGAGAACTAAGATAGCCTAACTAAAACCCCATGAAAGTTGGTAAAGGAAAAGTAGTTAGAGACTGTACTAAAATATGATAGAAATGTAAGAGCAACGACTCATTCGCCTCGACAAGGCTTGCTCTTGTCAATGGCGGTTTTGTTCCGGATAACAGAGCCCATTCTATCGAGAATCAGGATGCAAAAAGGGAGGTAAATAGAGGGATATTAGTTAGGCTATCTTAGCTCTCTTATTTTATCTTGATCTTACTGATGTTGCTGTCATTGACAGGGCCATGGCTGGATTCCCTGATCCTCCAGGACATTCTTCCCTTTCTCCAAATTCACTATCTATAAAGGAAGATATGATGCATTGTTAGTTAACTGAATTCATGTTATGAATATGACATGTTATTTACATATATGTAAGGGAAAAAATAATGAACATAAAGTGATTTGTGAGGTGTGGGTTAATTGCTATTGTGATAAGCAAATCAATAAATAGCAGAATGGTCAGCACTGCAAAGGCTTTGGTAATTTAATGTAATAACAGAACAATTCAGAATGTTTCTACCTTTCTTACTGAATTCATGATGAGCAAATTATGGAAAGCAGGTAAGATGAGAAGCAATAACAATGGCCTGACAACATAAGGGATTTGGCATGAAAAACAGTGGGGCACGCATTGAGAGTTTCTTATTGAGAACATGAATAGTATAAAATTTGAAAGTATGTTAGAAGCATTTAGGAGCTTTGGTGGGAAAATTCAAATTTTCATTACATTATTTTGGGTTTTGAGGGTTAATGATGAAATGGTCTACAACTGTTGCAAAAATGTCTGAAATTCACCATGGCCTCATCAATCTACTTACTTCATTGAGCATTTTTTATTTTTTTTTCTTGGAGAATGGAAGTGGCCAGAGTAAAAAATTACATGAAAGGTTATACTGACTAGAGTGGGAACTGGTCCTTACCAACTGGCTCAGCTTTTATTACAACTACATCCCCTAATCGATCAGAGTTTTCAAGTTTGATTCCACTTTTGCTTTCTGCATCGTTTTCGGATAATTCTCTTTCCATAACTGACCAGCCTAATTAAACATAAAGATAGAGGGAGTTACTGTAAAAGTCTGAAAGTGACAAACAGCTTATGCCATAACAGGCAGGTTCAATTTTGATTGAGTTATCAATGCAAAATTCTACACATTTAAATCAAAAATTAAATATTTGGTAACAAAAACCTTGATTGTGATTTATTCTGTGAAATTTCTTAGACATATACTCATGTTAACATCAAGAGGCTAAATAGCAAATATGAAGGTTTTTGATTTCCTTAAAAATTCTTGCAGATTTGAAACAAAATCATACACAGACTCATTCCTATCAGACACAGTAAGAGTGAAACTTTATCATGAAACAACTTAAGTGTCACAAATTTCTGGTAGGAAACCTAAGATATCGTCATTTTTTTATATATAGGTTGATACATTCAACAGTGACTCAAATATTTAAGCAAGGGTCACTGAAATCTTAGGTTTACCCATATAGTCAAAGTAAATAAAGAAGTTGCCTTCTCTTTAAACGTTTTTTTACTGCATGAAATTGAGCTTAAAAAATGGTATAAAACTTGTAGGTAAAATTTATTAACTCTCACCAATTGAAATTCAATAAGCTTCACTTTTGTCACACTAGATTCAATTTTGCTTTTCAAGTTTGACCAAAGTTACATGTAAAATCCAGGTTTTAATTCAAGCTTTAATTGTTTAATTAAGAAAAGCAAGATTTGCCAAATAAAATTGAAAAGTGCAGGTTAAAGAATACCGCTATTTTGCCATGCTGAAATAAGAAAAGTTGCAACGTTTTGTGTAAAGCTTTCTCTGATAAAAGAAAACAATAAAATTTGAGCTCGTTTAGAGAAAGAAAGCATCTTCTGATGTACCCATTATTTTGCTATGTATTCTTGTTAACACTGCTAGTCTGCAAAGATTTCGAGAAGCCTCTCTCTATTTAAAAGTAGCATTATTCAAGCATCACCATGGTTTATCATCTTTTCCACATATATGGGTAAGTTAACTGAACGCGCTTACCACATTAGGAGAAAGGTACTAATTTGCTGTATAAACTAATGAAGAAGTTCTTTCAACCAAAATCTAAGTAACTCATTCCAAACAAAATTAAAAAATAACTCACCAATTTCCCAAACTTGTGAATCAAATGTTTGTCCCCAAACAATAATACTTTTAGTCCCAAATAACACGAGCTGCACACGCGCGAGTATTGTTTTGAATTTTCTCCTTCGCACCTACTAAGATTTGCGCACGTGGTTAGGAATTGAAAGGAGCTACTGTAAAATGAAATTTTAAACAACGTTTTTTCTCAAAATCGAAGATTTTTAGCGATGAGTGGGTGCTTTTTCGTCGAACTTTTCGGCAAATGAAGGTTGTCTCACTCACTTTCAGGGGCGCCTACACAAGGGGGGCTGGAGGGGCAACTGCCCCTCCTGCCCTCTTCGAAGAGGGGCAGAGGGGGCAAGAAGTGCCCTGAAATATGATGACTACTTTGACTACTCTCGTTATGATAATAACTATTAGAAAATACTAGAAAGATGATAACACCAGCACAAAAATGTAGAGAATGAAAAGTTTGTCTGTGACAAGGTCGGCCACATAGGGAGAGCGGCAAAGATAATAAATGATAAACAAAAGGTGTGTTCCCTCAGAAGTACTCCAGGAACCTAAGGAGGATAAATCGGTATAAAAACTTAGCGGGCAATCAAAATTTTACAACCAGCCCATTTATAACAGCTATGATTTTTACAAAACCAAATATTGTGAATAGTGAGTGACAAAGCCATTTAATAATCATTTTCATTTATGGATAATTTCGTCAGCATTTTCTTTATGTTTAGAATCTTTGTTGGTAAAAAACGCAGCTGTATGGGTGGCACATATTCAAGTTAATATTTTATTATATTATTTTTATTTCAAATATTTACCTAAAGTTCTGAGGAAAAATTTTCACCATTTTTCTGCGAAAAGTTATTAAAGGAAAACTGAAGAGCGGTTTTGGGAAATTCGAGAATTTCCCAACATTCGGTGGGCTGCAAATGTCTTGAAACACTTTTAACCTCTTGCAAACTATAAAAAAACAGTGTAGCAGATCATTCTTAATTGATTCAACTTTAAATGGTATTTTCACCATTTTTCTGCAAAAAGTTATTAAAGGAAAACCGGAGGGCTGTTTTGCTCGAATCGTCAGAGCGCATTCTGTGTCATGGCTCTCCCCTCAATGAATAAATCGACTCTTTTGAGCCGAGTAGCGAGACTTTTGAGCAGGGTAGTGAGATTTTCGCTCTTTTCAAGCCACTGTTTTCGAATCGCTAAGCGTCCGTTTTGGACAACCAAGGCAACAAACTTTAGGTAAGGGCATCATTTACAAGACTGGAAAGGTTAAAATTACAGAAAAAAATCTGAAAAAATTTGACAGCAGTTGATAGGCCGAGTGGTTTTGAATATGGTGACAGGAAAAGAATATCATTTTCCTAGACCTCGGAAGTCAAATAAAACGTATAATTTTCTTTAAAAACAGAATTAAACAATTATTTTGATGAATACTGAACAACTGGAAATGAAAACTGTCTCAGGGGGTAGCTCCTGGCACGACTTATAAACTCAAGTTTACATCATGGTTAGAGGCGTATTTTGCACTTTCGAAAAATTCCCCTACTTTGGACGCAAAATAAAATCATAACAAAGTGCAAAACCCAAGTGCAGACTATGAAAAAACAGTGTAGGATGTATCGATGAAGAGAATTAACCGCTGTTTGGGCCAAAACCCCGAGATTTAAAAAAGTTATTAAAGGAAAACTGAAGAGCGGTTTTGGGAAAATTTCGTTTTTGCCAACATTCAGGGGGTTGAAAATGTTCTTGAAACAGGTTTAACTTCTTGCAAACTGTAAAAAAACAGTGTAGCAAACTTTGTTCTATCGATTCAACTTTAAATGGTATTTTTACCCTTTTTCTGCGAAAAGTGATTAAAGGAAAACCGGAGGGCTGTTTTCACAAATTCCACATTTTTGTCCAAGTTTCGGAGACTTTCATATTAACCGGAATTTTTATTTAATTGTGAAAATATGAAAAAACAGTAAAACTATGGTATTTGTGATGTTTAAAAATTAAATCAGTCCTACAGATGTAGTTAGTCAAAAGTTATTAAAGGAAAACTGGAGGGTAGTTTGCGTGCGAATCGTCAGAGAGCGAATCGTCAGAATCGTCAGGCCTATATAAATCAATATACAGTTTTGGTGTCTATCAGAGACAAGCGTATTTCAATTCCAGAACTTCTGAGAGATTCAAAACTTCGTTGATGCCAAAGCAACTCTATCTGTGCAGAGCTTCCGTTTACGCTGCTTGCCTGTGAAGAACGAGGAACACAAATTTCAATATTCACATTTAACAACAAACATGATCCATAATTAATTTTTTGGTCTTTGACGAGGGCTGACCAGGTCAAAGAACACTATTTCTGTTATATAGAAATAGATTTTTTAAAAGCTTGAGTCCGTGATTTAATTTAAAGTTTTTATATCATGTTTTGTTACTTAATGACTTCTGTTTATTGTCAATCGATTCTCACTTGCATTTTGCATTTTTATCCCATAGAATATCATTTCTCTGCTTGTTAAATATTTCTTCAGTTTCCAACCCCCTGCTTTTTGAGTTTCCAAAACCTTTTTCGCTTTTGTATAAAATATTAAAGTAGTTTACATTTGTTTAAATGGTTTTAAAAAATAACTGCAAAATTGAATATTTGGGTTATTTTTATGTATTAAAAACGGTGATATGGACCCCACAGACGGTGACATGGACCCCAGAGAGACGAGGAGTCTCTTTTCTCCATAAAGCGATTACCCCCGGTGTTGTCGAGTCATAACCAATAACACAGAATAGATGCCAATAACGTATCTCAGCTGTTACACAATAGAACGTTGTTAGGCAGTGATAAAAAACAATAGGAATCATATTACTCACCATGCTTTTTTCATTCTTGCTTAGTTCTTTGTCTTGTTTTGGTTTGCGAACTGAAGGTAAAGCATCACGTCGAAAAAATGTTTTGATGTTTTCGGTGGCAAAACTAGGAGGAGAGAGAAATGTACGGGAAAAATCAGTCGGAAAAAGGTGCTCTCCTGGGACAGGTTTTCCAGGATGGCAGTCAAGCACAACGGTATCTTCCTCAAGGGGGTATTCGTTCCCTAAAGTCAAGCACATGGTTTACCGTAACGCACTTACCTGTTTTATAGTAAAAGTTTTCTAATTTTGTTCTTGAACACATGGGCTCCGACAAAGGTTGAAAAGTGGGGGGGGGGGCCAAGGGAAAATTTAACACCCGTAACAAAAGATTTTGAAAAAAATTCTATTGTTTTGCAAAAATGTGGGGGGGCTAAGGCCTCCCATAATAGGGGTTGATGTTTTTTCGATCAATGGATGAGCAGCCGGGTTAATCGATTGTTTGCGCAGCAACCAAAGATGGTAACATCAGTAACATAGAAAGGTCAGGCGAAACGTTAATGAAGTAAGGGAGGGGGTGAGATGTTTAGACCCTGTTTACACGAGAGAAAATGGAACGGTTCCAAATGGAACCGTTCCAAAACTAGTACGGATAGGCCTTGCGTTTACACGGGAACTGTTGGAACCGTTCCAGTTTGGATCTGCTATCCGTGCTCTTTTGGCTCCGCTACAGAAACGGTTCCATTTGGAACCGTTCCGTTTGGCTCCCGTGTAAACGGGCAGAACCGCATGGAACCGAGCCAAAAGAGAACGGATAGGAATCGAGGCTACTATGCTATGAGATAGAGGCTAGTTGGAAATGATTTCTTTGTTTGCTTTATTGCTGCGCGCCAAAAAAGAAGAGAAAAAAGTTGATTTGTTTACGATCTATTTCATACATACTTCACGATGAACCGATTAAAGAATACTGTAGCATCAATTTTCTCAATTTTATTGTCAGTTTTGGTAGCTAAAGTTGAAATTATCAGTACTTTGCGTCTCCTTCATAACTTACGACAGCGAAGAATTTTGGCGCCAATCGAACAGAAGGAATTACTGCGCATGCTCTCCCTCCTCTGAAGCAATTTCTGGAACGGTTCCAGGATGCCCGTGTAAACGCAAGCAGAAAAAATTTGGAACCGTTCCAAACGGCACGGTTCCAAATGGAACCGTTCCATTTTCTCTCGTGTAAACAGGGTCTTAGATTGTTCAGGGCTTAAATAAAGGCCACCACCATGGTTAGGAATTCTGGCCGAATTCAAGACAAATTTTCGAAATATGACCTTACAGAGATGGCCAGAAAATGCATCTAGAAGATTTGCCACATCAAGTTTGGTTTGACGAAAGGACGATCCTAGGCAACATATACAAGCTTTCATTTACAATAATTCCCAATCCCTTAATAGTTTCCAATTACCAAAAAGCCAAGATTTTATTCTCAACTCTCAGCGACAAGCCCAGCATTTCCGACACACCTAGCTTTGAACAAATTTGAAATGCAATTATAAAAAATCCTGCCTTGTCTATTGAAGACAAGACAGTGAATAAATGTTCTCAGTAAGAAACTTTCAAGAGTAACGAGTCTTTCTTTCTATGGTTAGATGTCAATTCATGCTTACATTTCTATGAGCATAAAGCTTGAAATGCATCTCAGTTTTCTAGTTGTATCTCGTTTCTTTTTATTGTTTAGTTTACAATGGCAGACATTTAAAACTTATTCAGGCCCGTCGGAACCGGGGGGGGGGGCTGGAGCTCCCCCAATAATTGTCAAATTGTAGTATGTTTCCTTTATAACAGTTCACTAAATGAGATAGAAAACAATGGGCAGCCCCCCCAAACATGAATTTCGTTCCGACGGCACTGACTTATTCATTTTTGCCTAGACTGGATTGGGGGGCATGGATAGAAATATAAATTTTTCTATACCTGCCTTACGAAATACTGTCAGATCAAGCTGCGCTTATAAGATCTTCGAACACAATTTTTGCAAATTATTGAGAGGGGGTGTTGCCCCCTGCCCCCAGTTGTAACAGGATCACTCTCCTGTCACATGTCACGCATGCGCCGTTAATCACTAATCACATGACTTTTACTATATATATATCGTAAATAGAGATTTGATCGGGAGTTTTTGAGTTGATTTGATTCATGTAAGATGATCACGTAGGAGTGCGTTATTATTTGCCTCGCGGCTCTACCAATCATTGTTATGAAACGCTTCTTACATCTGGTGGAGGACCCTTTTTCGACATATCGATGTCCCACGAAGAGACTCTTGGATTAATTCAAGGCTTGGAATTTAGTTACTAACCGCTAATATATATGTATATATATCGGGGAGTATGTATGCTATATAAATTTGTAACTACTTTCCATGTTTGTTTCGTATATGTACTCATAACAGGCAAAGGCCAGTGTCACTTCATTCTTCACCCTCTTAGTACTTGTATATCCATGATCTTTAGCTTTGTTTCAATGAATCTCTTGAACTTCTGTAGTTTTTTTTAATCTATAAACTAGATATTAGAAAATGTTTCACAGGACAAGAACTTTCGATAATTGTGTTTCCCGTAAACCAATGGATCATATCATATTGTAATGGGTATTTCGAGTTACTTGTTACGCTAATTAAAACTTCGACGCACATTAAAACTTCTTGCTAGGGTTTAAATATACATGTATGAGAAAGGGAAATTGTGATGAAAACCGAATAGATTCATCTACAAATAACTGTGAGCCTTTTAGTGTCAATGTGCTCTACGAAACGGACACAGTCCATACTACGAGGATTTCAAACCTCCAGGTTCCTCAAACGAACAACGTCAAACGATGTTACAGGGCCCGTGGCACCGATTCTTAAGTATGGGGGGCAAAAATGAGGGTTACCTATTTAATACCTAAAAGAGGGGTTTAATACCTATAGTTTGCAAGAAAAGTGGGGGCTATGGCCCCCGGCCTCCTGTGGTGCGGGCCCTGCGTTAAAGTTTAGTCTTTGTGAACACCTTGTTTGGTGATAAAGTCATGCTGGACGATGTTCGATGCTGTTCGATGTTTTTCGGTGACTTTCAACAAAGTTTTCATTGTCTTGCAATGCTTGATGCAATGTTCGATGCAGTTTAAAACTTCCTCAAGCATTTTACAAAGATTATAGATGATCAGAGCTGCAAAGAACGGAATTCGCAACATAAGTTAGACCAGATGATAATTCCTGTGTCGAGCAAGTTCATTCTATCTTCTGCATGCAATACTAAGCTTGTTATCTTCTATGAAAACACACTAAAAAAACTTTGCTGCATCTGTTTAGAGGTGCACAAAGATAATGCACGTGTGTCAAATTTATACAGGTGAATCGCATTCCCTGTGCTTGTCTTTATTTGTAAAGGAGTTTCGACAACAAAAGCCGCTTTTCGCTTCTATTGCGCCACCAGTAATACGCCGAAAATGCTTGTAAGTTTCGCGTTTAGAATTTAGGGTTTTGTCGAAACGAATCCAGGCTGTATTAACATGATAGCATTGACTCAAATCTGAACGGCATGGATACGTTTTCGCTATGATAAGCGAAGGATCGTCATAGCTGGAAAGGAGTCCTGTTCGTGTTTCTATGGTAAGTTAAGTTTCGGGTTTTAGAGGTACTTGAATTTGCTTAGGCCGATAGGTTTTGCTGCATTGTTACAAATAAAAACAATTTGATTTTCTGGAAGAGGTATCAAGTATGTTAACAAATGACAGTCATCAAACGGTGTTCTTGCAAACCAGAAGGGAAAGTGTTTTATCCACGTATTTTATCAGGGTTCTTCTGTTTCAGAAACCACTTGACAGATCAAGATATCAATGGAATATAACAGAGCTTCTTTGATAAAATATCTTTATATATCAAATGTTAAACAAGCTTAGATTTTTAAAAGTTCTAGAGGCGGGAGTATCTAAAAATAATTGTCTAAATTGAGTAGATTTTTAGAAATAAGGCGGTGAATCTTGGACAGTTTGTCAATAATAAGGCATCGCTAAGTACCATAAAAAATACAAGTCATTCCTCATTCATTCCTCGAACCTTCTTGATTTTGACCAATATGTTTTGCACATAAAAATATTTCCGACAAATGGTTATCACCATAATGTTCTAATTCTTGATTCAATTAAGGTACGAACTAATAAATTGAGGCTCAGGCTGGCTGTTCTTAATTTTTCCTAAAACGTTTAGGCTGGTTGTTTTGATTTGTTTAAAAGAAATTGTGGTGGATTGTTTTAATTTATTTCTTATTATCAGGAAAAGATTTTACTGAAGAATACAATGGATACTGTTATAATGTACTTATTTACTGTACTGATATGCCCCTTACTATAATGGACTCGTATACGCGCATGTAGCCCTTTACTTAGTTTTCGATTGAATTGAATTGAAAGTTAGTTGGTGTGTTCTGTTACAGTTGAGTCGAAAGTATAAAGAGAGTCTTTTATTTTGCATCCTCCTGAGGAAATCTATTACAAATACGTATATGCATATAAGTTGTAACCTTCGTAGAAATATTCTTGCAAAAAGCATAATGCTTTGCCAGGTGTGTACAGAAAAGTTGTTAAAAATTGCCTTTAATTAAATAGGGCTCCAGCCTCCGCTCATCCAAAGTTGGTTCCTCATTTTGGCCAGTTTTGGTAATGTTCTTAAAAGTAAATATCTGACAACTCCTGCCAATAATTAAAAAAAGTATACAAACAAATTTTGTTGAATTTATTTTTTAACATGCTCCCGCCCCTTGAATTTTTACAACCTTGAGTCACGTCTTATTTTTACAAAATACGGGAATTTCACGCAACAGTTGCCGTGCACTAATTGCGGGACAGTTGAATTATAGCACTGCAACTGCAATGAATCAAAATTCAGCAATTTTTCAACATTTGCGAAGTAACATTTTAAACTAAACTTAAAGTGAAATGCAAAGCTTTCTTATTGAAAATAAACAAATTGTTAGATTGTACCCTTCAAGATGAACATTTACGTATCCTTGGCAAAACGTAATACATTTTAAAGCCAATGGAAATGGAGAAGTTGTTTCATTTGCCTTGCAAATATAAGATTTTAATCGCTTCTATCAGAAAGGCTCCATATGCGATTTTTATTCAAAAAGGATTAAATGCTGATACCTCAGATATTCTGTTTGAATGATTCCCCAGTTTTTTAACACCTCCCCTATTACAAGATGTGCCACGGTATCAATCTGCGCTGAAACACAAATCCATAGACTTTGACAAGACTGGACATAATATTACTAAGTTGCACAGCATATTAAAGATTAGAAGGGACCAATAAAGAAAATGAGGTTAAACAATTCGTAAATAAAACTTAATTGATTTAATTTAGCTTTATCATTAATATGCAGTAGTTACTTTGCAGCAATTCCACATGATGCTAAGATTGTAGAGAAACTTGACTCAGTAGAATGTCAAATCCAAGGCTTATCTTTGTAATCGTGGTATTGGTTTTGTTGGACAGCAATGTTTATGGGCGTCACTGGATCCCAAAGTCGCACGATGTTGTTCATGGGGTACGAATAGGTCATATTGAAGACATAAAGAATCAACCGTTTAGCCAAAAGCTACGTTTCCAAGTGCACTATGATGCGAGTGTGAATATTTTGTCATTAGCCAAGCAAAAGCTTATTAAACAGCGATTAATACCTTCAGCCGTAAACTACTTCCACTTGACATACTCTGTGCGCACGACGAAGGAACATATCAGGTTGCAGTGGATGTGTAAAGATAACTCGTACTTTCTGAAAGATAGCCAAGGTAAAAATGGTGGCGATATACAATACTGCAAAGGTAAATGCATTGCCACAACATGTGGACCTGTCAAAGTACCAGAATCATTTTTAGATCATTGTAGGATTTGCAACGAATATGGATATGATTGCAAAATTAAAGACAAAAACACGGAGAAAAAGCAGCCAACAGTTAACTCTGATTTCATTTTGTTTGTATCAGCAATACCTACACAGCACTGTCATGAGTCGAACATCGTAGCATATGCATCGTACTGCCAACAGGAAAATGCGTTAAATCGACCCGTTGCTGGGTTTGCAAATCTTTGTCCAAGCAAACTCGAAACTGATGCACAAAATTTTGAAAATTTGCTTGCTACAGTGAAACATGAAATTTATCACGCTTTGGGCTTCAGCATTGGACTGTTCGGGTTTTACAGGGACAAAAACGGCAAACCACTCGTTCAGCGAGACAAACATGGACTCCCCGCTTATGATAACACAACCAAGCTTTATCGATGGAATGAAAAGATACTAAAAATGGTGGTGCGTAGCAAGTGGAGCATATCAGGTGGTCACAAGGAGCATCAAGTGCAAATGATTGTCACCCCGAATGTCAAAAGGGAAGTGCGGAGGCATTTCAAATGCCCAGACCTCGAAGGAGCTGAACTTGAAAACCAAGGCGGGGAAGGCACTGCGCTGACGCATTGGGAGAAAAGAGTGTTTGAGAACGAGGCAATGACTGGCACTTACACCCAGCATCCAGTGTTTTCAAGGATAACATTGGCTTTGATGGAGGATACTGGTTGGTATAAAGCAAACTACAGCATGGCCCAGGATCTTGACTGGGGGAAAGGTCTAGGTTGTAAATTTGTAAAGAACAATTGTCGAGCATGGATTGCCGACAGAATAAGTAAAAAGCTTTCAACAGCTCCATTCTGTGCCACTTTGAAACAGTCTCCCCTGCATATGAAGTGTACCCATACAAAACTGTCCCTTGCTCTCTGTAACCTTGTGAAGTACACAAGCAACCTGCCAAAAGAGTTCAGATATTTTGATAGACTGGGGAAAACAGCTGTCAATGATATCTCAACTTACGGAGGAGCGGTGGAACTAGCAGATTTTTGCCCCTTTTACCAGAAGTTCACTCTAACCGATGAAACTGGGCACAAGCGTGGCACTACATGTACACTTTCCGAAAATTCGCCAGAACGTGACAAAAATTACGCCCTCGAAATGTACAGTAAAAGGTCGAAATGCATTGAGCATGGCCGACATTGGACGGCACGCAAAGGCTTATTGACACGGACTATGTTGGACTGGGGGAGTGGTTGCTATAATCACAAATGCACGAGAAGTGGCCTGGTACTCATTGTTGGTGAAAGAGGCTATCATTGTGAATACGAGGGACAACGACTAGAAATAACTGGACTTATGAATGACTGGAAAGTTAACGGTTCGCTGATTTGCCCACCATGTGAAGAATTTTGTGAAAAGGATAAATGTCAAAACCAAAAGACGTTCTTGAATTTGAAAGGTGACAGCCCTATCGAGCTTGAAGAAAAAGAAAATGTTCTCGTCATTGAAAATGCTGGCAACAATGTTGGCTTTAATTTGGCGATATTGATATTCATTCCTATTCTAGGGCTTGTATTGAATAATTTTGTCTTAAATTAGACTAAATTTTTTTACATTGGTAAATTAAACACTACCATCAAACTGTTTGATTTCATTCTGAGTTAAAATCTCTTTGTGTTCAAAAAAGGCCAAAAATTGCAGGATAAACTGATTCTTATTCCAAATTTAAAGAAATTTGAATTTATCAAAATATGGCAAATCTTTATTCAGCGAGAAAAAGATGAAATAGCGAAAAAAGGCTTTGTAAAAACTTCAAGGATGAAGGGCTAAGTTCTTAAAAAAGTCAGGATACCAAAGATCAAATCACATTAAGCTCGTACTTGTGTCCCTTTCTGCCAAGATTTTGTTTTTGACTCCATAAGATCGTATGCTAGAAGAAGGTCGTGCATTTTTGTGACAATTACAGCTACAGAGTAATATGACTGAGACTTCATAAGGCATTTAAACGTTGAGCAAATAGTGATAGAAATTACTTACAGCCAACAATGAGCAATGAATAATCACTTGGCTCAAACACAAGTAGCCAAGCTCTTACCTAAGCATTTTCAGTATTTTTGCTAATCATTTCTTAGTTCAACTAGTATCATATCCTTCTCCTCCACCTCCATGTCTGTTCTTATGTTATTGGCAAACAGGAGTAACGTGATATATCGAGTCATGCACTTTTACAGATGGCAGAAATAAATGACCTGGACGATCTCAATGAACTCTCGTCATCCGTCACCATTGGTCCAGCTATTAGCCTGTTAGCCGTAGTTTTGAAAATGCACATTTCTCATTAGTTTACTTGCGCTTGTGTTTCAATGTTACTTTTCGAGACGTTGATAATAAAGTTCAAATAATGATAAAGTGGTTTAATCTTAACATGCAATTTTCATTTAAAGCCATCATACTAGACAAGATTAAGATGCATAAAACATTTAAAAATACTATAATTTAGACACAGTTATGGTACCTCAATTACTTGAGATCGTCCTTTTTTGCTTTATTCGTTATAATTCCTCACTGCTCTGAAATGTTAATCCTACAAAAATTTTGCTGCTGCAAACATGTTTTTGCTTACGTGACAATTTTCTCCTTCGCGCCAAAATTTGATGGCCTCGATTTGAAATTCAAATTGCATCAATTTTTTTATCTTAAATGTAGACTTTTCGAGTTTATTGCAATTTCTAGGACTGCGCAAGACACATTATTTGCACCAGTTTTGCAAGGAACCAAGTTTTAATTGAATTACTGAAGCGCTGGGTACTTTTTACTATTTTCAATGATACTGGAAGTGAATTCCAGATTTCAGATCTGTTATAATTTTTTAATATCATTACAAAACCGTCAATGAAGGAAAACCAAGGAAGCCTTAGGTCCTTCAGTTTTTGGAAAAGAAAAGAGCCTTTCGCAAAATCTTTTATTGTGAATCATTAGTTTCTCTTTATCCCTTCCATTTTCAAGCTTGCGTCGGAGCCCTTTTGATAAGGTTTTTTTAATCAAAGCTTGTGATCTGTTGTTTCAAGAAATTATTAAAAAATCATCAGGTAGGACTTTCGTTAGTATTTAATAAGAGTTTCATAAACTTCAAATGGCAACCGAATTTGAATGGTAAGGTATTTATGCACAATGTTGTATCCACCAGTCGAAAAGAGAAACATTTATCATTGGAATGACAATGCTTTTCACCTGCTGCCAATGTGCTGAACCAAAAGTGCCCCTTTTCTTTATAAACACTCTTATCAACTGAGCAATAAATGGAATAAATAGATACCTTCTTTATGGGAGCTAGCAACTGAATCTTTGCGTGAAAAGAATAGTCAGAGTAGGCTAGGCGTTATGTTATGCCTCTTGTTAGTTTTCTTTAGCTTAATCTGGCTTTCTTTGCCACATATTAATGGATAGAAATTGAAATGACCGAGCATTCACGGTATGTTAAAGGCCTTTTTTTAAGAAAGGGGATGGTTTCCATAATAAAATATGTCCCTCCTGGAGATAAAATAAGGTGGGACATAATCCAAAAGATACCCCTACACGTGCCCTACCCATTATGCCCTCCGTTATATATTGATCGCTGGCACCACCACGGTATCCACCTAAATCATAAGCAATTCAACATTGTTTTTTTATTGTTATCTACTTAATTAATAGATTAGCAATACATTGATAAAACAAAAAACCAATTAGAATGTGGTACATGAAAAACTCAAATAGCTTTGAAAGTCATGTGCCCCTATGACGTGTTAATGTATTAAAAAAGAATCTGCTTGAACTTGAGAAGTAATATATAAATATACAAAAGATTAATGTAACGCAGTACAATTAATTGCATGTTAGATACGCATATTGAAAGGAATTAAAGAAGGTCATGATGTCAGTTATAGAATGCTTTCCAGTAAGGAGCAATAAGGTTTTGAGGATGTCTGAATCATCGTGTTGTGTAGAAGATGCACTTTAAATATCGGTTTGAACAAGCTCTTGCTGGTTTTTTATGATCCATGTGATCGGTTTTCAATACTTAGGGTGTTCCTTATGAATTACAGTCGATTCATTATTAAAAATCATCTGCAAACTTTCTTCTAGTTGCTATAAAAACGATGCGTGCCAACATGGATGTGTTTTCAAGTAATGTTGAAAAAATAACAATTAATCATCCTTATTGTTTTGTAACTAACCGATCATGCTTAATCACGCAACAAGCGATTTGTAATTGAAAGTGATTATGACTTGAGTCTTGTTAATGAGAGTTCAACCGTTGGTCGCGGGGATTTCGCAATATTAATCAACTTGTAAATATTTTTAAATGTTTTATATCAAATTATAGGATCAAACTGGAATAGACATTGTGATTCCTTCTACGACTCCAACCCTTGCGAATTCAACAAATAATGACGAAAACATTTTCAAATAACATAGATTATTGACGCGGGTTGATTACATAGATGATTATTTTAAACAGGTTTTAATTGAATTTATCCGTAAAAACTGTAGTTTGATTTTAGATTCAATTTCACTGAATGTCCGGAATGCATTCTCTGAAGATAGTTTTCCTGTATGTGAGAAGATCACCTTTCATAAAATATTCAGCGATTCTTTTTCCAACTGAATTGAGATTTTCAACGAATTTCTCATCTTTCTTCAGAGCAGGAAGCAACTCAAAGAATCCTTCAATAATCTTGTTGTCTTCTAAACATGCACAACCTGGCTTGAAAAAATTACGCTTCAAATCCCCCTGCAACTCTTGCAGCTCGTTTTCAAGCTCCAGTAGCATCGCTTCCTTGCCGGGGAGTTTCAATTCACCTTTTATGTAACTAGCGATAATCAAAGCCTGGTACTCCATTATCTGTTGAATGAAGCAGCTTCTGTCGACATTGCCGACAAAACAAAGATGTGGCTCATTGATCGCAAAGGTCCTTCTGAATAAGGGACCAAAATACATGTTGTTATCAGACATGGTTATCAAATTATCTTCTTTGTTTAGAAACGGAAAGGAAAACTTATAACCAGTGCACGGAATTATCAAATCAACATCAATTTTCTCCCCATTCTTGAAGAATACTTGAGAGCCGTCGATCCTTTCGATTCTAGAGTCAATAAGAGACAGTTTTTCATTTTCGATGTACTTTTTAAAATCAGTGGTGCTCTTGATTTCCCCCAATGTTCCGCTGAAATAAACCTTTTTAACGTTAGCCTCTCCTCGCAAATGATGACCAAACAACTGTACAAGCATATCCAAGCCCGAAAAGCTTGCACCGACCACCAAAATTGATTTGCCAACAATCGCTGGATCATCAGATCGCCTGAAATCATGGCTATGAATGATTTGACCTGGAAAAGTAGCAACTCCGTTCCATGTTGGTAAATATGGAACATTGTTATGACCATTTGCCACTACGACAAAGTCTGCATACAAAACTTCTGTCTGATTTTTGTTAATGCTGTTGCAGATTTTAACCATGAATGTACTTCCATTCTCGGCTTTTTCAACTCTCTTCACTTCAAGAACAAAGGCATCAAGCCGCACCTTTGACATGAGATCAAAATGCTCCACGTAAGCCTTCAAGTATTCGTTGAACTCTTCCCGAGTTAGAAACTCTGGCTTTTCTTCGCTCACAGGAAAATCCTTGAAATGGGAGAAAACAGTTGGTGTGTTCAAAATAAGATCGTCGAATATATTTCTGAACTGGCAACCGTATTTTTCCTGAAATATATTTCCACCAATTGCCTGATCAATTGGATTCTTTTCCTGCAGATATGCCCATAGACCACCAACTGAACTTCTTCCTTCCAGTAGCGTAACATCAGAGACATGCATAAGATGTCGTAAGCAGACGAGGCCTGATACCCCACCTCCGATAATCAGAACTCTTTGTTTCCTTTGCTCCATTTTTGTTTCCAGCTTGCTCAAAACAGGTAAATTTTCAAAAACAGTCGTTAAAAGCCCTTCACATGGAAGAAATGCATGCTAAGGGCATATGGAGCGGGTTTTATCATTAAAGAGGATGACCTAACCGTATTCATTCAGTAACTTGATTGGCCGTTCTTGGAATCCCCTTGAACGAGCACTGAGCTGTCTTATTGTTGCACCAAAATCGATTATGCAGTCATTATAAATAATTGCTAATCAAAAAATCAATGAATGTGATTCAATTTCGTGCATTGTTTGGATTTCATGCCAGCTTTTTGTAACGGTTTGGATTTTATATTTATTCAATTTAGTAATGTTCTCATTGCGTGTTTAAAGTCACATGTTCTGTTAAGTCCTGTTGTGTTTGTGAACGCCTTTTTGTCGCAATGTGTTTGTCTTTCAACATGTAGTGTGACGCTCGTATTGTCCTGTTAAATAGCTTTTGTTTATGTTATTGCCCGCAACTCGCGCGCGATAGCGCGCGAGTGAAGGGCTTATAGTCTGCCCCGCGTATAAGTAGCATATGGAAGCTTCAGTTCATGTTGTCAGCACTTTTTCAGCAGATTTTGTCACTTTTCTGCTGCCATGACAACTGTCAATCAATTTCATTGTCAATCAATCGGCTTTGTCGAGGAGGTCGTTAACCGCCACCTCTTTGTGCGGAAGGGAATTATCTTCGGAGCGTTGCTCTGCCAAGACTCTGTTAAAGGCCTTCGGTTTTTTGGCACGAAAACGGTGCTGCATCACAGCTCTGTTCTCCGCAATGGATGGAAGTTTTGATTCGAAGTTTTGGGAATCAAAACCAGTCGAATGCCACACTATTCTCCCAAAAACTCGAGACCGTACGAGCAAAAGTTATGATTGTTGGCACGAAAACGGTGCTGTATCACAGCTCTGTTCTCCGCAATGGATGGAAGTTTTGATTCGAAGTTTTGGGAATCAAAACCAGTCGAATGCCACACTTTTCTCCCAAAAACTCGAGACCGTACGAGCAAAAGTTATGATTGTCGTGATTATCGAAAAATGAATGTCAAACCCTCGAAAAACTTCATGATTTTCAAAAGGGCGTTGGACTTAAATCAAAGGCAAACTGAACACCAAAAATTCTTGATAAAAAGAATAGTTTAGCATCAACTAGAGCAGCTGTTTTTATAGAATTGTGAAAACCCAAGATGGTGTCTTCTTCAAATATCCTGACCTAAATTTTCAAAACAATCATTATCAAGGAACTAATTGTTTGCGGGCAGTACTAGCAAGAGCTATTTCTAGTTAGGTTATTAGTGTGTGTTGATCACGTTATGAGTAAGCCTCAAATACACGATCAGGTTTTTATCAGTTTTTAACTGACAGTTTTCAGTTTTCACTCAAAAACTGATTGTGTATTTAGCAAAAACTGATAAAAACTGATGCATTTATGACCTTCAGTTGTTGACTGAAAAAGTTGAACACGTCCAACTTTGTCAGTTTTTGACTGATGGGATTTCTTTTCATTTATGTAGAGTAGACTCCATTGTTTAAAGCTGGCGCCCCTATAATCCCCTTGCGCAAGGTGCCTATTTTATTTAGAGCAGCATGAATAAGTGCGATTCAAAGATGGCGACAGGGCCATCACTACGAGGGGGATGTGGGGGTGTGACACCCCAAGACCCTAACCTTGTCGGCAAATCTTCGTAAATGGAAGTTTTGTCGTCAACCTCTTGGTAACTGGCAAATTTTCAGAAGAAAGACAGAGAATTTAGCCATTTTCAAATAGATATTATCGGTTGTTGATGACAGCACCAGTCACAGTTGAAATTTATGAAAACCTAACGAGAATAATCGATGATCGTTCCAACTCTCTCGTGCTAAAGGCCAGGCGCGGTCTGGCCCTATTCTGTGCCCGGGTGGCAAAGTGGCGATCCCCATCGGGCCCTCAGACATGTAAAGTTTAAAAAAAATTACGGGCCCTTTCTGCAAAAGTTGGAGAGGAGAAGATAATTTTCATTAACTGGAAACTAAAGACACAGCCAAGGTCCCTAACATGCGTGCTGGCTTCACAATTAAGCATCAAAATGAAGTCTGCGCGCAGGCCAAAGAACCCCACTATGACCAACATCCACTATAAAGAAACTCTATTTCAAATTTCGCACAAAGGCAAATCTGTCCTACTTCCTAGAGAAATAATTTGAAACTGTATGTAGCGATCAAGGAGCTGTTGTTTTTAGTTAGTTTTCTAGAGTCGCCATTGTTACATTTCTAGCTAATAATGACCTTCCACACATGATCGAATGTTCCCTAGGGTCATATCACTTTAAGGAAAGAAAGTTGCGCAGGAAGAAAGCTTCTCAAATTGGGAAATTTTTGGAATCAACTTTGCGAAAGAAGCGAAATAGGAGCTTTGCAAAAACAAACTTTCACGTTTTAGCGAAAATCATGGACTCTGCGTGAAAAACATTTCTTTTCAATTGAGGTTTCCTTCTATTTTTATTCCACATGATACCAGCAAAACACCGAAAAAGATGTAAAATTTGTCCAACTTAATAATTCTTCGTCAAAGTTTTCAAGAGGATCAACAGCAAAATTTTCTAGATATTTCTCAAAAATAAATTTTCGCAAATTTAGTATTTCAGGAAGTTTTGCGTATCAATCATCCGCGATTTTAGGCCATAAACGCTAAAAAACGCAAAGGTTCCTTCCCTCACAAGTTTCTTCCCGTGAAAATTTCTTTCCGCGAAAGTTTCTTCCTTGAAAGTAGTAAGGAACAGTTGAAGGCCTTCCCCTGCTGCCCTTTAAATTTTTCTTTTCGAAAAACGAAAAAGCCGCCATTGTGTAGACAAAAGGAGTTCGTTTTCTCTCTTGGACTCCATTGGTAATTTTTCTTTAGGCTCGCAGCACTGATTAGGCTAGGCACTGATTGGTCAACTATACCGGTCTTGTGCTAGATCTACAACTGGGTAATTATTTTCCATCGTGTTCTTTCGGAACCTTATTCTGACGTTTTATGCTCTGAGGAGTGTCAGACGAAAAAGCTTTTAGAATGTCGTAAAATGTTTGCTTTTTCCAAAGCCATTTTCAAATTCTGTACCGCAAAAAATTGTTCAGATTCTTCTTATTGTATCCGCATTAATTGCTGCCTTTCTTCTGGGTCTTCTTTCTTCTTTTTGGACCGTTCATTGTTCTTCATCAAAATAACTAGAAGAAGCAAAGCTCTTACCTTGTTCCTTTCGTTGCATTACCTCCAATGGATACAGGGTCTTCAAAGATCTGTTTATCCTTGAGAATCTTCCTCTCCCATTTATGACTCTGACCGTTGCTCCTCTTACCAGGGGCGGATCCAGAGCAAATTTGAAGGAGAGCCAGTTGGTAGTGGAGGCGCTGAAAAATTTTAGAAATTGGTGACGAGTGTACGCTATATGCAACAATTTCAGTCCTTAACTACTGACAGATGGCTCTCCATTCACTTTGTAAGGAAATTTTCACAAAAATTGTTATATACTTTGAGGTAATCCTTGAAATAAATTAGCCTTTAAGTCTCAGAAACCTTTGTCACCTGATTGTCATTCTTGAATAGGGGCGCACAATTCCCAAAAGAGGGGCGCCAGACTTCCTTCAACTGCCCTTAGTTGCCCCCCCTTAAATCCACAACTGCCTCTTAATTCATTGTCCCCACTAGTAATGAGCTGCTCCCCAACTGCCAACTTCCATGTATTTCTTGATGCACCTGACTCCTTGACTACAACAACGTCTCCTTCTTGTACCTCAGCCCCCTTTTGATTTGCTCTTGAGTCGATGGAACTCCCTCAGACTTAGCAAATTTTCATTTTTCCATCTTGCCCAAAAATGTCCAAGAAGGGTGTGTAAGTAACGTGCACGCTTCTCTATGGCCGTGGCATCATACTCATCTTCTTCGTCAACATCATGGCTTGGCAGATTCAAAATGCATCTACCAATCACTAAATGAGCTTGTGTAATTGGTTCTTCATCTTCAAATTCATCTGAACAGATGTACGTTAAAGGTCGTGAATTGACCATACCCTCGATCTCAGCTACAACAGTTGTTAATTGTTCGTAGTCAATTCTTGCATTCCCTAGAATTTTCCTCAATGGTTGCTTCACTGCTAGCACCATACGCTCATAGAAGCCCCCAAACCATGGTGCCGTTTCTAATATAAATTTCCACACAATGTTCTTCTGAGCTACATATTCTTGAACTTCTGCACTTTTCAACAATTTTCCGATTTCCTTGTTAGCATTCTTGAATATTTTAGCATTGTCAGATGTAATCCTGTTGGGTAGACCTCAACGAGCAATGTACCTTTTCAAACAACGAATAAAGGCTGCAGTAGATAAATTTGGCACTGTTTCTAGCTGAATTGCACGACTAGAAGAGCAACAGGTCGAATAAAGGATCAATTTTTTGAACAAGCATTCTCAGGTCTTATTCAGATAAATTCAACCTTTTTACAACCTTAACAAGCCACGGCTAGCTAATATATGCCCTGTTGTCGAAATGGACGCTATGTCGGCCCCCACTTCGAATTTAAAAACACAATACCACTGGCTGAGCAGTACCCCGTCCCCAATTGGCTCGTTTCTATACCGTGGTCTATACCAAATCTTTGCACACAGGGCTGATGGAGCCAGCTTATCGAACTACTTTTAACTTTAAAGTCTTTTTGAAATAGAATCAACGGCCAAAAGAAAAAGTCAAATGAGGCTTCCATTGCTTCTCAATTTGTTGTTCACCCAGCTGGATACTGAGGATTTTACAGTATACTTACACTCGTTGTCGATTGAACTAATTGAATTATTCATAGAAAGAACCGCTATGAAGGCATTTAAAAATGGTTCGCAGCTTTTACTAACTCCTTCGGGTCGTTACTGATTTTGTATATCAGCATATTATGATTTGCTGTATGCAACGTTGAGAATGACGTCATCATAAAATACGAAAATTGACGAAAAAGGAACTACATTTATTTTAAGTTATTATTGTCATTACGTTTTAGCTGTGTGACGCGCCGCGACGCGCCGCTTCTAGTGTGAATTCAGCTTAAATCTAGATTCTAGATTTCTTTCCGACAAAAACAGTGCCTCTGTTAAAAATTTTTTTAACTCCCTCCCTTTCTCAATACCCTTTGTTTGTTTTGGATGCCACAGCAAAGTTGTTCCCTTTTGTTTTGCTCGTAATTTGTTGTTTTGCCTCCGTAGACACCAGCCTATTCATTAAAATATGGTGTTCCGTCTGAGCATAGGTTTTCCGTGCCATCAAAGACTGCAATTTAAAGCAAAGGTAGTTAGCCCTACTGGAAAATTAACGATACCTCCTGGTTTTATCTCAAACGCTTAATAATCTGCTAGACTGCTGCGATAGTCGTGAGTATAAGACATCTGCAGTGGCCATTTCAAATTCAATGTTTTGCAGTTCCACAATAGAACAGAAACAATAGGTAGCCAATAAACTATTGGCCATTGTACAGCTCTCTTACAAATATGGTATAATTTCCGAGTTCCAGGTACTGTTTTGACTGAGGCCTTATTCGCACTGCATCTAGAAACCTGATAATGCTAATCCCTTATTGTTCAATCTTCAAAGGCGGCAAGGGTTTGTCAGGAATTAGCTTAATTGGTAGAGTGCGTACAGCAAAATCTGAAATCCGACAAATTGTAACGTTTCGACTAATTGGTCGAAGGTTCCGTCGTAGAGCTCTGGAGCTTCACAATCTCGTGAAAATCTATGATAACCAGCCCAGGGTGCTATTTGAAATCATATCACGATTTAAAAAGGTACAATTTCTTAATGGCAACCTGATAACGTGTTAGATAACAATACAACATCTCAGAAAACTGCCTAATGCGAACAGAAGTCTGACAAACTTTGTCAATCTTGAAAAAGTTTTTTTAATTGGCGTGAGAATATTGGGTTTGACAAACATTATCATATTTGCAGTGCGAATAGGGCCTGAGTTCCATCCGTGTTCTAAACAAAAATTTTATTGTTTCAATTCATTCACTTCCGAGGCACAAAAAGTTCATTTCCGAGTTCTAGGATTGAATGCTGTTGTCCTCCACAGCGTCTGGAAAATCGTTTCCAAATCATGACAAAGAAGAAACTGGCAATTTTAAGATTTTCAAGAGACTGTGATAAAACTAAGAATTTTTAGGTTTCAATTTTTTAATTTAAATATTACTTGTTTCAGGCAACACTATTTTTAGCTGTATGTTGGAAAACTGACTGAGTTCTGTGCACCAAGGAACTCACTCTGGATCCGCCTCTGCTCTCAAGCTAGCACTGATTGTTAGGCTTTTTATCGAGGCACATAAAGTGTTCCAAAGGATGGAATGTTTCCAATACACAAGTACCTACATATTTTTTTATAATGTATTACTAAACATCGATCTACTGTCTGAAAAAAAGGAAAACAAATGCTTTCTCAAGTCACTTGTTCCAAGCAAGGGCGGTAGTGATGGCGCTGAAAATTTTCTAGAAATTGATGACGAAAGCACGCTGTTTACACAGACCCTAACTACTGACAGAAGACTCTCTTTTCGCCTTCTAAAGGAAATTTTCATAATAATAGTGCAAAATCGTTTCCAAAAAGGGGCGCTAGACTTGCTTCAACTCGGTGAGGGAGGGGCAACTGACCCTAGTTGCCCCCCCCCCTTAAATCCGCCACTGGTTCCAAGTAACAATGCAGAATCATGTCTGAAGTTAAAATATCCTAGTAATCAACCAAATCTATGCCTGTAAAATCTACTATATTACACCTCCCTACCATCATAATACTTTTATAGCCAAGTTCTCTTGTAAGATTACTTTATTAGTTCCACAGCAAGATTATGGGCTCATTGTAAGGAATTTTATCACTCCACAATTGCGATGCATTGCTGCACAAATCGGTTATCACTGCATGTTAAATAAGTTCTTGCTAGTTTATCTAATTTAAGGGGCCTGAAGAGTCATCCGCTGGTGTTTATCTCACAAGTGCCAAAGAAGAAGTAAAGTTTTTACTTTACCCAATTAGGTTCTATTCACTTGATTGATTTTACCAGACCCAATTCTCCTAGCCTGCGTGCAGACTCAGAAAGAGTCAAGAGTCTGCACACAGGCTTAAAGGCAATCTGTCACGGCATTGATTGGTTATAAGAACAAAGGGACTTTTTATTGTTTCCAGTCCCTCTTTAATTTATCGCACTGTAAAAAATATGGCGGAGCGCTGGAATTGTGTTTAGGCTATTGTTCCAACAACTGTTCTCGTTAACCAATCTACAACGAGACAGATTGCCTTTAATTCTCCCCCGTTCCCCAAGAATACGCAAAAAGCATTGTGTGCCCCAAAATCAACTGCCAATGAGAGGCGATGCAGTGTTTCCAAACAACTTCACCGAACCCCCGGTTTTTGCGTGGATTTTTTCGTATAAATTTGCAAAGCCATAACATCAGTTCAATACTTCAAGGTAAAAGAGGCATACAGAAGGCTTTTCAGTTCAAGATACATCAGGTAATTATAGATAGTGTAACTGATATTCGTTAACATACTTTGGAACCCTCTTTTTATGTAGCTGAAATTATCTTCATGAAATGTAGTTCAATATTATTTATGATTTGAATACAAAATTTATGATATGAAGGCTCTTGAGCTTCATATTTTTCAAATCATCTTATGCAAATAAAGGGTGCCGTGACTTCACCACGATAAACTCATTTTAATGATACACATTTGAACACACAAGCATGCAAGCGTATTTTCAAAACATTATGCTTCATAGATTAATTTATAGAAAACGCGAATGCAGTTACATTCTCAAGCAATACACACTCAAGCAATTTTATTTGTGATTCAAATATCAATTGCTGGTAACTGGTTATTGTCTGATACCTTATTTTTCACAACTGGGATATGAAATCATAAATGCTCCCTCTATGCTTCATACAGAAGCTTCAAAAGCTTTAGTTTCAAATTTAAATCAAAATGAATTTTGTTTACGTCTAATAGAGCTGCTCGTTGTCTTTAATAATTTTTGTGGAGAACGTGTGCGATGTTTCTCTCCTAATTTCAAATAAACTTTCCAATGACCATTATAGAATTGAAACAAAATCACACTCGCTGGGCATGTCTCTTATCGAGGGGCAAACTTTCTCCATAAAATTCTGGCAGACCTTCCGCAGAAATCCTATTGTTTGGTTTGAAAATATCTAGAAGTCCTTTTGTTTTTGTTGGAATCGCGTACGTCATTTGCATTAGTAAAGTTTTGATCAGCAATTCTACAATACCGAAGAAATTTTTGCGACAAAATGCAGTTTTGCAATTTCCTACTTTACGTTGCCCCTGTAAACTCCACCCAAAAGCTCTAACCTTATGATAATGTCGAAGAGTAGCAACAAATTGCTTCAATTTTTTGCAATCTTGGGCCCTCTACCTTGACTTCTTTTTCATTTGCAGTAAAAGGCTATCCTTGCTCCTTAATTTTGATATTTGATTCTAACAATTCTTTCAAGCTGTTAATTATCTGAAAATTATTTTCTTTATTTTTGTTTTTTTCACAATCGTTGGTACATGTTTCTTGATCGCAAGTTCGCTGAAACTCTGTACCCCTGATTTTGCGTAAACTCTGTGCCCCTGCTTTTGCGTAAACTCTGTTCCCCTGCCAAGTCAGCTGAAACGTAATCTCGATAATCTTTTTTGTGGAACAGTCAAATTATATCTGCTCATTGGTATTGTATATTGATAGAGCAAAAATTTCTTTTACGCTCAGTTCAACATGGTTCTAACATGAAGTCAAGTTGGTCAAAAGTGGAATCAGTGAGTGAACGATTCTCAATCCGGTGACAAATGACACAAAAGGGAGGGAACTAACCCTCCCCTGCTTTCTTTTATTCCTTCTCAGCATAGTTACTTGGTGGAGTTTTTCAGAAAGCTCAACCAAAAACAGCATTTTATGTGAATGGAAAGCAATATGATGGAAACAAAGAATATATAAGGAAGTTGTGATTATATATCAACGATATTCATAGAAATCATTAAGTCAAGAACAGCCTTCTTTTTAGTTCATGTAATCTGAATTATACATATTCATTATAGTGCACAATGCCCACCAACATTATCAACGTACGAAGAGACGTATCTTGCGGGGGATGTAAAAGGTGTAACACCCTCCCCCAAAGGCTTCATGAATTCTTCGGTAAATCTCCAGTTTGTCTACAAAATCCTTAGTTGGTCGGCAAAATCATCCATCAGTAGGTGAAATAGCACCTAAATTCTTCTCCATCTATGTCTTCGTCGGTAAATTTGTCTTTTGATTCTTTTCTATTGAGCAGGAAAAATTTTTCTGCCAACAAAATTATTTTGCATTCAACACTAAAAAGAGCATAAAATCCAAATTGATTAATAATCAGCATTTTGAAACATTCTAACGCTATTCGTCTTTCAAAAAGCTTTCGCATGTTTCGATTTGTTTGCTTTTTTCAAAGACATTTTTAATTTCTGTACAACCAAAAAATGATTTGTTTCTTGTGAGCACAAAAATAAAACTCTGTTTAAATCTTAATCTGAAGAGATTTTGGTCATCATCCAGCAACAGAAAGAAAACAACTGCGTCTGGCAACGACGGACTAAAGCTTTGGTTGGGTGACCTAAAGAAAGCATGACGTTGACATCTGTCTTAACATTACACATCTCTCGAGATGCAATCTTAACATTACACAAACAGTGATTCTAATAACAGCAAGCTTTAGTAACATTAGAAGGAACACGTTTTTAATCTTTTCAGATTCAATAGCAGGCTCACATTTGATATCCAAGTTTTCTTTTGAAACCTGTTCTTTTCTAATTCTAAAAATTGCAAAGTAAACACTTCTGCCTGAAAGAAACTCGACATCAATTCTTTATTTTCTGTACTCGAGCAGTGCAATCAAAAACACGTGGCATTTTCTTTATATTTAGATTCGAGAAGGAAAAAGCAAGGTCATGTGTCATGATATGGTGTACCTTTGAAATCAAACATTATTATTTGTATTGTTTTAATCTAGAGTAGTAGATTGATGTGACATTGCATGTTTTGACTAAGATCGTTCTGTATTTATAACCATGTAATTACAGTACTTTGTTAAACTTTCCACTTGCAAAGCAAACTCAAGTTCTTAATTAAACTAAAAGTTTTCAATTCAAAAATATGTCGGTACTAGTATAGCACAGCTAACAATATTTTAATGACTAAATTCTGTTGACAAAAGTAAGTATTGAAGTGTTTTAGCCTTTCAATACGTTCGGTATCCTTGTAATAATATCGCGGCTTGGCTGCATTTTTACAAATAGTTAATTTTGCGTGAGAATATGCAGTGAGGCAGCCAAGTGCAAGATAACTCTATTTAACATGAATTAAAAATCCTTTCTTTAGCCAAATGTTTTTTCCTGCAGTTTTGTAGTCATGGCGATGACGTCTCATTCTAATTTTGCGAATACTCGAGATATTCATTGTCAGGGTATAATATTGACAAACTTGCTCCAAGAAGTACAAACCTGCCAATTAATGGCATTGAAAGCATTCTAATTTTGGCAGTCTTAGAATGAATTCAAATGTGTAAAGTTTGTTGAAGGATGTGCTTCCATATAGATGCCCCATGCACGCACGTTCGCTAAAACTGCTGACTGAATAATAAAAGCACTGCCAAAAGTCTTGGAACACTAACTAAGTTTTCAAAGGCAAATTCAGCCACCCCCTCTCCCCCTAGGAACAATGTTGATTTACTATAGAAAAAAGAAAGGGGGTACATAGAACGCTTTTTCTTATAGCTTGTTTGGTATTTTTCAATGCTTTCAACATTGTTTTGGAGGGAAAATGGGACAGAAGTAGTAGTATTCGGGAAAACAAATAAGAAATAGAAAAGCACAGCGCAAAATGTTGGATGTTCCAAGTTATTTTGGCAGTGATTGCTATTGAACTTCCACTTTTCTGTGATTTCGTTGGTTTAGAGCAATCTAATTCTGCCTCGGTTGGTTTAGAACCATCTTGTTGTTGTTTGTTGGAGTTCCGCTTCTTCACCATTAGGTGTCGCTGCTTCTCTAGTCTTCAAAATAATTGCTCTTGTTAACTTCTCCCATCCCTTCCTATTTTGGGCCAGTGTTCTCAATCATTCCAGATCTTCTTTGGTGTTGAGCTTTACCCGGTGACAGTAGTTCAGCTGTATAAGGGTCTTTATTGTAATTGGCCTTTAGATCATCATTCAGTACCTTTGGTAGAGTTGTTCTTGGTTTTCCTCTGAATCCTTTGGCTTTTATATTTATGAAGTACAATTCCATGGCTTTAAATGTTGGTATATTTCTGTCTCTTCTCAAGATATGACCAAATAGTTCCCCCCCTTTGGTTCCTCATAGTGTATGATATTGGTTTTTCTCCCCTCACTTCATACAATTTCTTATTCGATATGCGTGTTGGATATCTTATTCCTAGAATTCTACGTAACTGCCTCCGGTGATATGCATCTAATCTCTGTTGTACATTTGATGAAACTCCCCATGTTCCACAGTTGTAGAGCAGTACTGATATTATTAATGCTCTATATATCCTGATTTCTTCTCAAGCTTTACTTTATCTTTTTCTTTAGATATATTGCATTTATTTTGTTCATTGATGCTGTGACTAACTGCTTTCTTCTATTGATATCTTCCTCATCTCCTAATAGTGAACCCATTTTCTTTGCATTTCTCTATTCCTCTTCCTTTTTTATTTCTTTCTATTGATGGTAGTGTATTCCCTTTTTTCGTTATTGACCAATAGTTTATACTTCTTTAATACTTTGCTTATCTCGCCAACATCTTTATGTTTTATTATATACCTATAAAGTCGACGTCATCTGCATAGGCAATTTCTGTTGATAATTCTTCTTCTATTCTATCAATCTCTATTCTATTAATCTAGACCAATCTTAGCTCGCCTCAAAGCCGGCTTCTTGAATGAACTCATTTCCTTTAAATTTATCAAATCTCAGTTGAATTGTCTGAAGTTTTGCTATACTTTCACAAGCAATACAGCAATAATTCACGAATGTTCTGATCAATACAATAAAACAGCGGAGTCAGATAAGAGAAAAAACATGGCCTTTTTAATTTATATAAATTAAAAAATATTGTCATTTTTCTAAGTTCATCAAAATAAAAACGTTTTTGTGAAATGGATGAATTTTAGATAGCCTCAAAACATATTTTGCTACAGTCCAATCATAACCTTTAATCGCCTTGAATGATCATATAATAATTTGTACACTACCATATATTTGGAAACATTCAGCTGGCAATACGTCCAGCTGGAAAGTTTCCCGTTTTGCCCCATGAACCATTAATTATATTAGTTAGTGCTTTTTAAGATTTCTTATTAGTAAGAAGCTGAAAAAATGAATTACAATTGTTTCTTTGTATGGCGCATAAACTTTTATTAGATGGAAGGCCTTCTTAGGCCCTATTGTAATTCACAATCATTGTCTTATTGCAACCTTACGAAGATGCAACATTTTGTCGTTATTTCAGTTACATTCTACTGTTGTAAGACTACGTTGATAATAATAATTAATACTTAGGCTCCGGCTTGAATTATAAGTATATGTGCCTAATTTGCTGATGCACTTTTGTTCAGGATGCATCAGTCATCTTCAAAGACCCTTGTTAACTTGTCCTTTGTTCTTCTTTTGGCAGTTATTCCCGGTAAGTAGGTCTATTTTTATCTGCTTGCTCCGAACTTATTCATTGTTGTTAATTACCATTTTGTAAAACAGCGCTTCAGAAGAATCAGTATGGAAAGTTTATCCTAACAGTGATAGTGGAATGAAAATAGATACGAATATATGAAGTAAATCAGACAAGTTCTTGGTTCTAACAATCTGAACCATCAATTGCAGACTCACAAGAGATGCTGGGGAGAAATTTTATCCTGGTCCTACCTTCCCACATGCATTGAGAGGTCTATCGATTTAATCTGTTCTAAATTTTATAAATCACCGTACTTGCCTCGGCAAAAGCAAAAAACCTAGGAAAATTAAAAAAGTAAAACAAATTGAAAGTAAGTAATGTTGATGTACCAAAACAGATAAAGTCCCAAAGATAAACAGATATACAAAGTGTTCCAAAGTGAGGACGTCAAAAAATTAAATTCTAAATTATCTTTCAATTTGACCAGATAACCTGAAAACGTCATTAAATATCTCTAGGTATGCAAAATAAGTTAAATGTACTACAAATTGGCAGAGGTATGGCCACATGAGCACAGGCTCAATTTTTTTTAATTTTAGTTTTTTAAAAATCACCGTTTTCTCAGCTGCAGCTTCCTTGGAAACATTATGCCTGTCCACTCCTGCCAGCCATAGCAAAATAACATTGCAATATTAACCAGATTGCTCTTTAATCAAATTGCTATTCTCAAATAAACACAACCTCAAATAACGGCCCTCTAAATGTCACCAAAATCAATTTTTAGAAGTTTTCATTTTGAATCCCATAACCATCACGGAAAACCAGCAAATGATCAAAATCAGTTAAATATCGTACGTATTGGCTGATATATGGCCACATGAACAAACCTCTTTATCTCTGTCTCTGTTCATAGCTTATTTTCTCGCCTGTTCTTTGACATGTTTAACTGATTTTGCATATCTATATGTATCTTGGAAACATACAGTGAACAGCAGAGACATCTAATAGAAGATGTCTTTTGGATTGTGTGGATCAAATTCTAAAAGCCCTACTAAACAAAGTTTTTGCATTTTCAAAGGGTCGTTTTTCCTCAAGCATCAACCTTCTTGAAACTTTTGTTTGCAGCTTTTTGCCATTCAGAGGCTTGCTCTGGTGACCTACTGAAAGACAAAGTCTGTAAAGATTCGATACAGCCAACCTGTAGCAACAGGGTTGTCCGCAGCGTTTATGACGATGATTGTGAACAAATTGAGAAATGTGTTTGTCCAAGTGCAACACCGTTACGCTTTAATGACCGATGCTACAAGACATTCGAGTGTCCTAAGGTAAAGATAGTTTGGATCAGCTGTAGAATAATTTGACATCTCCGTCAAAAATTCATTTCATATCTGTTATGCGTTCCTATAATACCTTTTCATAGCTGCAGAAATAATTTCCCATATATGGCCGTTAACATATTGTACACATGGTAAAAATCTTCGCTATTATTCAATCATATACGACTGAATAATAGCATTGGCTAATCGAAAGAGCTGACAGGGCAAGGTGAAATCCATGAAGAACAAGACCGAAGCTTTTACCATTGAGGAGGAGCTGCATCTGCTTTGGCAAGAGCGTTGGGAAAACACTTGGAAACTATGCGTGTTTTGCTGAAGTCAACCTAGGCTAATGATAATGTTTAGCCACAGACTCAAGATAGCTAACGTCAAGGATTTAGATAGCTAACGTTGGTTCTGGACTTTCTTTCCTATTCTTCTTCAGGCAACTGGCCAGTAACACTATATGTTATTTTGTCATATTTCGTTATAGAAATCAGCGGATGGCATAAGCAACAATAGGACAGGCCATAACTTTGTTATACCTGGCAAAGTGAATGGTCGAAATGAAGTGTATGGCATGCATATATCTGCATTAAGACTGTCACCACATTGGTACCATGGGATTGCCTTGTTCCAGTTCACCGACTCCAGCTGTGCTGAGACAGTTAAAAATGCACATGCAAAGAACCCCGCCATCTTTATCAGCATAAACTACAGGGTACGTGCTATATCAATATTCCCGAAAAAAGCTGTTCACTTGTTCTTTATGCATGACTGCCAATCGGAGAATAAAATGAAATAGAAAGGCACCACTATGTGACATATTGTCCAATCCAATCCCTCTTAAAGGAAGTAGGAAACAGGGGCGCCTGTACAAACTTAAGGCAGGAGGGGCATTGCTGGTGCTAAGGGCAAATAGAAGAATTTTCCACTACCAAAATCGATTGTTTGTGAAGGGTGGGGGAGGGATGCAAAATGAAGTATTAGCATGGATCTGTTTCACCAATACAGCTGGGACTTTTCAGTCACAAGCTCTAAACATAGGCACAATGTTGACAAAATTCTCCATGCAAGTGGGTATTAAATGGCCTTGTCATTATTCGAAATTTTTGATTTTACGAAAGTTATGGCAACGATAAATGAGCTGGCTGTAAGACTTTGATTGTCTTCTTAGCCTCAATACTTCATGGTTGCAGAATCATTGAGAGGATAAAAAAGGAAAATAATAATCAAAAGAATCAAATAATTGTTTACTTTAGCGTGTTTTTTATATCAAGGCATAAAATAAGCGTAACATCCTTGGTCTGATGATGGGCAAAATAGTCATTATCTTATAAGACACCGTTTGTATTTTTAAAATTTATTGTCGTCTTTTGTAAAAGAATTTTCCGATATCAAAGACCGATAGCAAAAAAGGGAGATTGTTATATTTTTTTGAATTTCTAATTGAAATTATCATAATGGGAGTGGCTAAACTAGTCATCAATTATCTACAAGATTCTATAATATTTTTTTAAAGAGTGAATATTTAAGGGCACTGCTTGCCTTCTCTGCTGCCCCCAAATACATATAAAAACAATAAGCGATACTAAACACATTGTTTCAGTATATAAAAGCAAACATTTCAAATTCTTCCACTCAAGATACAGTTGAGTAGCCTACCTTCATTTGTCATTGTTTAGTTAACTGCGATGTCAAAAAATCACAGGCTCATTTTGACAAAGGATACCTAACATACCCAGTGGCGGCGCCAGCTGCTGTAGAGTGGGAAAGTAATGGGTGTTACCCGTGAGACCACGCCCTATTGGCCTCGTTTTAGTGATTTGTATAAGGTCAAATTTCCTTAGGAAATATGATCTACCCCTACCTAGTGCTTTTTAATCCGTTTTTAGACGAAATATGTAGACCATGCTTCGACAAAAGTGGGGAGGCAATTACCACCCCATACCACCACTTGGCGCCGCCACTGAACATAACCAGTAAATGTTACGGTAGCTTATTTTTCTTTTAGGTACCGATAAAACTTGCTGACTTGCTGACAACTGGAAATACATTCCTGGCAACGATTGGTTTCGGAGCAGGATCGGTGTTTACACCCATTACTCAATGTAACGTGAGTTTTTCTCTTGCATTTGTGTAACTTCTGATTTATAATATTTACGGATATCAATGGGAGGTGCAACTATCATGGTATCTAAGGTCAGATTGGCGATAAACTTTTTCTCAAATTGGCAAAGAAATCTTCTCAAATAGGATATACACAAACAGAGATATTATCTTTTATATATGATATTCAGATCTTTATGAGCAATTGATTCTTAGTCGTTGTTTTACAGCTTCGTGTAAAGAAAGTCCTGGATTTAAGACGATACAAATCTGATGAGCCCTACCCAGGCTGCCAAAAGTTCCTTCTTTTTGGAGACGGTGATAATGCATACATCTCGCACATCCCAACCAGATGCAAAGAAACACAACAGGTAAACATGAAATACGTCAATATTTGTGTTTTTAAAGGCAATCGACAGATATAAAAGTGGATTAAGCCATCTGTCAATCAGTATTAGCCAATCAATAAGCGTGTTGGTGGAATCACACTCGCTGATTGGTCAATTCTTGATTAAAAGACGACTTAAGCCCATTTAGTATCTGTCGATTGCCTTTAAGGCAGCCATGAAGAGGTAACCAAGGGAACTAACCTGTTGCCAAGAGCGTAAATGAGAACTTACAAGGTCGAAATGGTTTGATGTCGATTTTTTAGCTGCCTTAGGTACAAGAGCCTCAGACGATGTGCAATAAATAGAAGAAGCGAGAGGAAAGGTAGCGATTTGTGAATCTTTCGAGGCTCGAGCATCTATAGTATGTTTGAGGGCATCTAAAAGCGCTAAAAGGCCTTAGCTGGCTCTCTTCAGCAGTATGCCAAGATCAGAAAACATGGCGCTATATATTCAATAAACTTTTCCAGGTTCTAAGATAAATTTCATGGAAATGTTCCCGACTATGTAAACAACATCTGGGTAAATAACCGGAAATTTTTGTTTTGGCAATGCAAATTCATATGCAAAAGCATCTTCCTTATTACCTTAAATCAAACATTTACGAACGTGTATATCTTCTAGATAATGATGTTGAAGTCGGTGCCTTCTGAATTAACAGTAGAGCAGCTAAAGTCAGGGGTGGTTGCATGGCTCCCTGAGGTTAAAGGGGAACCACTAAAGGATGCAAGTGGAGAAATCATCGACCCACTTCTGAAATCAGCATACAAGGCATACTACAAATGCGATTACGAAAGTTCTACTGATGATGACGTTATTGATGGTCTGAATAACGACGATGCAGCAGCAGAGGTTTGTGACAATGAAACTGGTGATGAAGACCATTGTACAAACCTACGCAACTGCAAATCGACAAAAGTGGAAATCAGCGTTAAATACCCGCTGGATACATTTATTATCAACATCATGTGCCCATAGATCTGGTGAAAAATAAAATATATATTTTCATGCACTTTAGAGCACTATTTAACATGACTTAAAACACAAATAAAGATTTCGATGACAAATGCATTTATTAATTGGAATTTTTTGGGAAATTTGTATTTTCCTTTGTTGTTTCTTCCGTTGACAGCATCCCTGACATCTACCCTAAACCCATAATTCGCCTGCCCTAAAGTGGTGCATGCTAGCTTCTGCCAAATTTAATGGTGCCATGGTTCACAAAGTATTTGTTCTATAAGTTTACTGTTAAAGTATTTGTTAAATGCTGTTCATAGCCAGAACCAGATGACGTCATGTCTATTTCTACTGTGGACAGCACAGAATATTGTATTTTCTTTTTCCAATTTTAACAGTTATATAAAAAATTGCATTCCTTACCGATATGTGATCGAAATCTCGTTTGGGTTTTAGCAAATAACAAGGTCATTTATGCAGGATATAGCATCAAACTTGAAGAAAATTAAAAATCCTGATCGCTCGCATACGCAACATCTATTTTTTGGGTCTCTACTTTAAAACCCTCTGTTTCTTTGCCAGAACCATTCTACAGTATGGAAATACATAACAAATAGACTATGGCTCTTATGGATAAAACTTCCAGTCAAGACAGTGCTAGTCTACTGTATGAAGTAACACTCAATAATGCATGTCTTAGAAGAACAGTTTGCAGACCAATAACATAAAATAGCTATATGCTCAACATCTGTTGCAATTCTAATAAAAAAATCTAATTAAAATGACTAGGTATTTCTTTGCAATGGGATAGAAAACAATTTATACTTTACAATTTATAGTTTACAATTTTTGTACTAAAGGTACAGTGAAGTACAATTTAGCGAAAGTTCTGCCTCTCATTACGCAATTGTGCACTTGGTTGCTGCCTTCTTAGAAACCCTGGTTAAGTGGTCACGAGGTTATTCCCAAGTTAAACATTAACTGTTATACAAAGTTATATAACAACTTTTGGAAAATTTCGCGTGGATTCACGAAATTCTAAAAATTGACCACACCAAGACGAAACCTTTAATTGTTTTTGGGAAGCTGATAAAAAGTGTCAGCTAGTTTGCCAACGGAGGGGTGAGCACTGCTTTGGGCTTGTGGAATGTTGTGGGCGCAAAAATTTGTTCGCCAACGAGGGGCAAATCATTCCAAGAAAATCTCGTACACCTTTTGTGAAAATCCTATTGTTTTATCTGAAAATCCCTAGAAATCCTTTTGTTTTAGGGAAAATCCCGTACGCTATTTGAAAGAGTGAATTGCCCCTCGGTTAGGAAGAGTTAATACACTCTTTTTTTCATAAGAACAATTTTATAAGAATACGAGCCTCAAAGTTGGTCAAAATTTATGAACAAATTAAGAACAAGCTGAGGCTGAACTTCTGCAAAATGCAATTTTGAACAACGTTTTTTCTCGAAATCGAGGATTTTTAGCGATGTGTGGGTGCTTTTTCGTCGAATATTCAAATTTGTCGGCAAATGAAGGTTGTCTCACTCACTTTGTTGGCAAATGAGGCCTGAACACCTCCCTAGAGCGAAAAAGCTAGCACTCGCACTGCTTACACCCTATTAGATTAGGATAAAAAATTAAGAACAATCCAGCCTCAGGTTTTCGAAAAAATTAAGAACAGTCAGCCTGTACTTAAATTTACTGGTTTTTATAAAAAAAGAGTGTAACTAGGCAAACTGTCTTAAAATGTTTGCCATAGGAAAATGACTAGATCCGTGGCTACTTTACATATTTTAGTACATGGCATCGGAACTTGTGAAACGAAGGCAGTGAATGTCTAAGAGGTACATGCCCCACTTAGCGATTTCTACAACTATGAAAACAACCCTAAAATAGTCAACACTTTACGTCTAAAACAGTAACTGTCAGATGTGAATTCAAAATTACTAAAATGAGTGATACCATCATCAGAATCTGGTTGCAAAAGGTAACATCAAATGGAAAAATCTAAAATTCCTGATCACTAAAATATAAGTATGGAATTCTATCTGAAATTCTAAGCATTAACAAAATTTCTGATTTCTTAAGCATTTACAATGACGCAAATGAGTATTTTCTTTATGAATAACAAAGAATAAGGTGTGCAGTAAAGTCATAGGCATAGAAAACATAGAGACTGTAGCCTCAATCTGGCAAAATTTATCCAGTTTAGAGCCATTTAGGCAATTTCATCTCAATGAAGCAACAGTAATCGTGCAAGCCCACACTAGGCCCCTAAAAAAATGAAATTTAACAAAGTGGTACCATATCATACTTTGCATTTGTTGGCAGTGTTAAGTACTGAGGTTTCTACCTAACGAGGTAATATATATTTCAAAACTTCTTCCTTTTTTGATCTTTATCCAAAAAAGGAAGCAAATGAATTTGACAAATTTACAGTGGAATAAGACCAGAATATCCTTGCTGGAAATGAGCCATCAAAAATATACACATACATATGTCCATACAAGGTTTACTATGTGACAAAATGTCTTCTAAGAAGGCCTTTTTGAAATTTTAGTAATGAAAAAAATTATTGTTTTTAACCTAGCTTGCTTGCCACATTGATCTGCAAGATGGTGTGATCACTACTCCTCCACCCTCCTTAAATGATGAAATAGTTAGCTTTATGGAAAACAAAAACTGTGTAGTTGCACAAAAGCATACATTTGCTACATTTATAAGCTCCCTGTATAACCTGCATTCCAGGAAATCTACTGAATAGCTGAATACCCAGATAACCCATTTCGCAACTCAATAGGAATGAATGAATACTTCATAATTTAATATGTTGATACTTTAACAGACTATCAGCAAAGAACAGCTAAATTGTAATCATCAAATATCACATCAATTGCTTTAAAGCAAACCTATTGGTGAGCTTGCCTCTCCAGATGCTTCCCATAACTGACTTGCCAGTTTCTTGCATGATGCTGCCACAAATCTATTACTTGCCATACCAACATGAACACAGAACAGTTCGTAGCAATGCATAGAATCAGGTGAAATACCAGGAAAGCAGTGCCTTATAAGGTCCTTGTAGAAATCACCACTTGTGGCTCCAGTTAGAATGGTAGCAAAGCTTCTTTTTGGAATTTCCAAAACTGGCATAGGCTTGCCCATGGCATCTTCAAACCAAATAAAATATGAGTACTTGAACTCACCGTCTTTCAAGATGAAAGAAGAGTAGCCTTGAGAAACATGACTTTCAGCATACTGCCACATTTGCCAAACATTCTGCTTTATTCTGTGCTGCATGCTTGATTTCATTGATGTTTGCTGATTAATTGAGGGTGATATGAGCTGGTTTGATGTTCTGTTGATGTAAATATAATGAACCAGTCCAGGAAAATCATTATGATATGCAGTCATTGTCACATTTCTTTGGCCACGAACTTGTAAAAAGCTGCTATAATCTGACAACCTGTTGACAGCCATTTCATTTATCTGTGATAATATTTTCATTTGCCGCTCAAAACGTGCTTGCTTCATGGGTTTTGATAAAATAAAAATAAATGAAAAAACTGACTTGATTCCTTTGACAACTTCAATTATTGACGAATACAGCTTCGCAGGCATTTCTTGATCCTCAGAGGATTCTAAGAATGCTTTGAGCTCATTCTGTTTTGCACTTTCCCATCGTTGCTTTAGCACGGCAATATTTCTATCAAGTACCTCATATTGAAGATCTACCTGATTTGAGATATTATAAGTCAATGTTTTGATATTGCTATCAAGCTTTTCATACAGCTTTGACATAAAATTTGAATCAGTCAGTGACAGAAGCTTTTCCTTTTCTAGAATTACCTTTAAAGACCTTAGAATTTGATAAATAAGCAATACATGCTTAGCATTCTTACTGACAGAGACAATAATCAGCACTGTAGCTGAATCAAGTTTTATCATATCTATGACATGAGGTATATAAGGACAATCAGAATCTTTAAGGAACAATGAAATCTGTTGGTGCTTCCCAGGATCTTCCATTTTGGTTGAATTGGTTTGGCCTTCTTTTGAACTAGAATCTTCTGAAGCTGGGGCAGAGTCTTCGCTGCTGCTAGGAGAATAATCAATTCTCTGAATAGGAGATTCTTTTGAGCTGTCATAATCAACTTCAGATTGCAGATAACTTACATCTTTCTCAAGATTATCTATGCCAGAAAGTGAGACTGGAGAGCCTCCCTTTGGGGTATGAAACTTTTCTAGAGAAGAAAAGGTAGGCTCAACCAACGGTGTTGAATTAGCAGACACATAGTCTCCCACTGATGAAGGGGATTCATTAGGCTTCTTTGAAATATTCCTAGTGGTCTCAGGATTGTCCACAGATATTGGTGTGGTCGCATCATGTCTATTAAACACTTCACTTTCTAGCTTTTCAGCATCTGTATGCAATAACTGTGGAGGTGCCTTATTGAGTGAGAAGGGTACTAAAATGTCAGTATATTTGAATAGGTTTTTAGCAAATACTGTTAGAAGCAGAATGTCTGAGGTCTTCAGATCAAAAGCATTTGGTTGAGAGTACAGACCCAGCAGCTTGTTGTTTACAAGTAGCAAAGAATGCACCGCATTGCTTCCTTTACTAGCCTTAGACAAAGCTTCTCCAAGAAGCTGCAAACAAGTTGAGTTCAAGTGGCCATTTACATTGAGCCTTTCGAGGGCTTCAACAAGGAACATTTGCTCTTGCTGACATAATGTGTGCCAAGTCTTTAACAAGCTACTTAAACGTTGCCATCTATGTTGGCGTTGCAGGGTTGATGAAGGCTTCAACTGGTCTGTTGAAGGCCCGTAAAGTGCGTTTACAAGATAATGGAAGAAGTGAATCCTTCGCTGCAGAAACCATTCAGACTCTTCGCCATCTCCGCACAAAGAAACGTAAAAATGGTTATCGAATTGGCGAATAACAATGATACTTCCATCTTCACCACTAATGGATGAATAGGGGTCACCTGTATCAATCATGTACTTCTGAGAGGCAATCAAAGGAGAGAAAAACTGACCAATGACATCTAAGCGTACATCTTCAGAATCCAGATCAAGGGTCTTCATGAATTCGTCTCTGCTGAGCGTTTTCTTTAGGTGCTTCAAATAGCCTTCATCGAACCATAAGTAGAGTATGTCAGGAAGCGAGTTAAAAACTGCAAGTAGCTTCATATTCTTAGACTTGAGCCAAATCTTCACTAGCAAATTTTCCTAACGATCACTATCATCTTTTCCACTGTCATGTGATAAAAACAAGTAAGTTATCATATTGTGCCATATTATATCTACCTCGTTTTGGGATTTTATTTGGAGGGGCAGGGGCAATGATATAGCAGCGCCGAAGGCGCTAACTCGGGTCATGCTGCGTACTGCCGAGTGAGGCAAATTTGTTAACTTCCGCCATTTTAAATAGTGGCAAAAAGCGAGCTGCAATAGGGTTCAGTATGGAAAATTGCTTGTTTTAATGAATGATTTTCTCGTGGCTCACAACTATTTCAGTGCCTTTTCTGATGCAGGTAAATAGAGGAGATATAAATCAATAACAAATAACAATTTTTTGGGGTTTTTAAAGAGAATTTTAAAAATTATGGCTCTTTTAGTTTACGCAGTTACTGGGGGAATATGGCAGTGGCTTGTCGTGTTTTTATATGTTGAAAAAGTATGTGTTTGCAATTTTTATCTTCATTTAGATTAGAAAAAACTTTTAAGTCTATTACCTAATAATATAGACCATTTTAGATATAAAATTCTTGAATTTTTCTGTCTGTCGTTTAGAACCTAATATGGCATGAGTAGGACAGAGCGAATATATTTTATTTAGTTTGTCAAATTGAATTTGCAAAAAAAATTTGATATGAATCAAATTTCTTTCCTCTTGGTAAGGCCAAATTAGAAATCTTTGTCGTGAAAGTATACCCCATCGAGTGTGGTTAGGGGCAGTCTGGCCCGGGTGGCAAAGTGGCGATCGCCTTCCGGGCCCTGTCTGCAAAAAAATTACAGGCCTTTCCGCGTTGGAGACTTTTTAACTTAAAGTCAGATACTCAATGCCCTAGACTGCTTATATTGCGATTAAAGTTCCAATACATGCGCTTCAAACCACCAAACCCTGGTTTCCGTTATTTCAGCCATGTGTTCAATCTTACGTGTACCCGGGGTCCCAGAGCCACAAAATTTCGAGCACGTAAACAGAGCAGAGAAGCGAATGAGCGTACTCTTATCTTCTATTTCCGCTCTCTAATTTATGTGGCTCTGATGCCCAGGGTATCTGACCGTCAGAGACAGTGCTGTGAGAACGAAATTCATATTGGGGGGGGGGGGGCGGCTGCTTATTGTATTTATTTCCACTTAGTACACTGTTATACAGGACATAAGGCTTAGGCTGCAATTATTGGGAGGGGGGCTTCAATAAATGAAAATAACGTAAAATTCAAAACAGGAAATTCAAACAAAGAAAAACAAACAGAAGAAATGGAAAAAGCTAAGGAAATGATAAGGAAATCAGTAGAAACAATTGGAGAAAGCTGGAAGAGAAAGAAAGGGGAGGTAAAAATTGTAAGTGAAAAGAAACGTAACGTTTGGCAGAAAACCTTTCAAAATTATTCAATAAAGAATCAGAGTTGGCAGTTGACTCAATCCGGGCTGACTCACAATTGCGTTTGGAAACCAAGTTTAGACCCACTTCCCGTTTAGAATACAAATTGAAGAGAGTTTGCCCTGGGTGAACTCAACACAGGTTGAACCCGGGTAGCTTTTGTAGTGTAAACCGGGTTTTCGTTTGGAAATAATTTCACTTGCTTTCATTATTAAGCGTCGGACGAAGAGTTCAAGTTAATTTTGTTCCACTTTTCCGAGCTATTTGGAACATTATTTCTTCCTTGTACTCATATTGTAGTTTTCTAAATGTATTATCAGTCATTCTATCAGTTCAATTTTGCGTAGACAGAATATGCTCGATGCATTCTAAACAACAGGTTACACCATTCAATCTTTTCCTCTCTTGGGTGCAGTTAAATATTAGCTATAAGTCAGCGCTGTGAGTTATTTTTCTCCGATCGCGGTAACAGCCTAAAAAATTCACCATATCTTAAAAAGCGTTAAGATTTGTAAGAGCTATTAGTTTCTTAAGACTAAACACTGAAGCAACGAACATCGTAGAGAAATCAGTTTTGTTGATTTTCTTGATTACTTAGATAAAACATGAGTCAAAACTATGGACGAAAATTTGCATAAAAAGAAGCATAAATAAAGGGTATTCCTAGGAATTCGGAGCCTGGAGAAATCCCGAACTAGGCAGGCTTAAAGGCGGGTTTCCACTTTGGCGAATCTGGTCGCGCGAACTTGGCGATCGCTCGATTGCTATCGCAGGATTGATTTCCACTCTTGAGATTTGGCCGCGAGATCCTTGTCAGTGCCCTAGAATAATTAGGCGCGTAAACAATATGACGATTATAAGGCCACAAATTTTGATTCTCATTTTATTGAGGTGACGATTGAAAAGAAAAGCAATGCAGACTCGTAAAAAAAGGAGATGCTGGGTAAGGAAAATATGTGCAGAGAGATATGAAAAGGGAGAGTAACACCAGCTTGTCAAATAGATGAAACTTTTCGACATTTTCAAACGCAAGATAATTTGACTGTACTTTAGGGGATTGACTTTGCTGAAATTGACTTAAGAGCGACATGACTTCTGGATCGATCCTTATTTTTTCCATCGTCTTCTTCTCAGCGTAGCATAGCACAGCGTGGAGTTGACTTTTTGGACAAGCGCCAAAGAAAACAAGACAGGAGGCATTTTACGTAAACCAGACAAGAAAACAAAGCATCTAATTGGTTTTTGATAATCTGGTCGCAGAAAAGTTAAGATCTATTCAACTAGCAAAAGTGGTCGCGCGATCGCCAGTGCAAAGGGAAATCACTGCCAATGGGTTTAATGCGCATGCCCAGAACAGCAGTCGCGCGATCGCGTGACCTAAATCGCCGAAGTGGAAACCCGCCTTAAGAAGGTACCTTTTAGAGTTGTTTTAACGTTCGCAACTTTTTAATAATAAAATTTTCGCAACTTTAGATCTACAAAAATTTTCTTGCAAAGCTTTTTTGCTTTGCACTACTTTTAAAATGAATATATAGCGAAGGGCGGGGGGGGTAGTGTGAGAAATGACGTCATTGGTAATATAATAGAGGGGTTTAGAGAAATAGTTACACAAGGGGGCAGGGGGCCTTAAAATCTTTAAATTATAGGTGATATCATTTATGTATGACTCTGTCATGAATGTTAAATGTCTTGTCTACACTTTACTATCGAACCTTGTTACAGCCTGAGTAGGGGGTAGAGTGAACCCAAGTAATATTTTCTGTAGTGCAAACACAAAGGACTCGGCCCGGGCTGACTCGGCCCGGGCTGACTCGGCCCGGGCTGACTCGGCCCGGGCTGACTCGGCCCGGGCTGACTCGGCCCGGGCTGAAACAATGACTCAAGACCGACTATCAAGCCTCATGACTCTTTCGATCGAGCACGAACTAGGAAGACAAATTGATTACGACAATATCATTGATCAGTTTGCAACTGAAAAGCAAGAAAAATTAACTTTTGAAAGAAGAAAGAACTGAAAAGCGTAGTTCCATGGGATTTTTTAAATAAAAGTGCGTAAAATAAAAGTTTCCTTTCATTTTGAATTTTAATATTGCGTGGCTCACCAGAAAAAAAACAGTCAGAATTGAAGGAACACATTTTGAAGTCTTCTTTAATCAGCTAAAAGGGTGTGGTCAAAGAGCGTATCGCTTACCTTTAGAATTAATGCTTTTTTTTACATTTTATGATATTTTAACCATATTCTATAACGTGCGCAAACGTTTGGAAATAATGGGCGTTTCCCATTTCAAAAAGGGCGTGGTCTTGAAAAAAAATTTGTATCCGACTCTAGGGCCCCAGCCAGGACTTTGCCCCAGGGCCCAGGCCGCCTCTCGGCGGCCCTGAGTGGGAACGCGACGCAGAAACGGATAACTTTTAACCCGGATATGTTTTAACCCAGGCTAGTGGAAAGGCTGTCTGAATATTTTATCTTTATCGACAATATCAAATTACGAAATTTACAGCAATGCTGACATTTACAGGAGATGTTTTGTTTTTGGTTTTGGGAATTTCGATTTGTTTTAAGTTTTGATAAGAGAGTCTTTCCGATGGTTATACGAGAATTACAATACATGAACTCTATATCAAAGTGACGAGGAAAATTCACATTTTGTGAACAAAGCAGGAATCTGGGATAGCCGCAAAAAGACATTTTCCCAAATCCCAAAATTCAATACTGCACATTTTCGAAATCAATACTGTACGTTTTTAAATTAATACTGAACAAAGTGTGTAATACTGCACACTAAAATAGGCCCTGGAAAGAGCATTATCATTCAAGAAAGGAACATGCACAAATTACATAACAAAATATAGGCAACATTGGAAAAATCCTCTTCCCCCTAAATTATCATCTAATTTGCATCATTTATTGATCATAATGACCGTAAAAATTTGTGTGAACCCTCTCCCTCCATCTTTGATTAGGTAATATGTGAACGTTCCCATACCCAACTGCCAACGCATCGATAATCTTATCCAGATACAACCATTCTGAATGGAAAGAACATAGGATTGTACTCAGTTAATGCAGGGGCGTAACTTGGCCAATAGGTTTGGGGGGGGGGGGTGAAAAGGGTTTCTGCCCTGTGAAAATGAGTGGTGTCCTGCAGACCTCGTAGCAGAGGTTTGTCTATAGGTTACTAGTGAAAGCTTTACTTCTAAGCAATAAAAACAAACTTGAAATTTCATTGCCTATGAAATATCTATTTTTTTACTTGAGCGTAAATTAAATGTCAAATTTGATTTTCTTTTGTCATATCATATCAAGTTTAGTGAGGTAGGAGGACCCACCATGGTTGGGTCCGACGTGAAAATTTTTTTGAAATTATACCTTGTAAAAGGGCTAAAAAGCATCTCCCAGACTAAAATTTAGCAAAATACTATACTGCTAAAAAACTGATTATTGTTTATTTGAAGAATAGGGAGGGGGGATGGTATGCTAAAACTCTAGTGATAGACGTTGTGGAAGGAGAGAAACAGTAACCTTTCGTTTCAGACTGCACATAGTTGTGAATGACAGAGCAATGTTGTTTTGATTGGGAGAATTTTATTTCCTGAACAGAAATGTGCAGTTTCTTATCTTGAGAAAGCCATGTTTACACCTCCAAAATGAAAACATTGCAATGATGCAGAAAGTGATTTACTGAATTAATGCAA